AAATTTCGCGGGCGAGAATGCCGTACTTTTCTGCCTACGTGATTGATATTTTGAATGTAACACGATGTTTTCATGATTGAACTAATGTCCTACTACTAAAAGGCGGTTTGCAAATGTGGATCTAGCTTTTCTATTCAGAAAAAATCTCACAATGCAGTGTTTTTTGAATACGTTATAGATTTTCATCAGGTATAGGTCAATTCCATCATATATCTCAATAATAAATATCATCAAAGCTTGAATTCGAGTTCGAGTTTGTACAACTAAAAGATTCACATATGTTATTCGTGGTGATCGATTCAACAAGATTAACATCACGTACGAATTTTCTAAGCCGTCTGAGGGGGTGGAATTATCCTGAAAATTCAAAAATTGGATTCAAATATTACTGGAGTTTTTTCCCCAACACCAAATCGTTATTTTTAACACCTCGACACGTGTTTCGATCACCAAGTGATCATCTTCAAGAGGAAGATTGAACTGTTTAATCTTCCTCCACTCCAGTAATATTCATTACTACACCAAAGGTTTCAAACAGTGCCTCATAAGTAAAAAATTGGATTTGTTATTCCCGTTGATCAATTGAACAATACCAACTTCACTCCCGAGTTTTTAGGCCAAAACCCACATGATGACTATCATCTTTGAAAGCTGGAACCAAGCTGAGAACTTCATTACAGAAATGAGCAGTTATTAGCATTCAGTTTCAATTTCTCACAGGGCGTAAGTTAACAACAGTGTCTCATCGAAGCCGCAGAAATTCCTCATTTTTTAATGATCATATTTACAAAAAATAAATAAGTCGGACACCCTGGCAGGTAGTCACTAATGGAGAAATCCCGGAAGAAACAAAACAATCTCAAAACCAGGATAATCAAACTACACACGCTATATGGGGAAAAGGGAAAGAAAGTAGGTTGTGAACAGCTAGACACAAGAGTCAATAACAACACGTTCAATAATAAATTCATTTGTGATACTACTATTATGATCTACAAAGCAAAAAAAATAATCAAGTTCATTTCACTAATGTTGTAAACAATTTTTTCATCTATTTTTTCTATTTTTACTATTCCACATCTATTTTCTGTAGTACACCTTGTATTATGATGCTTTCATAAATGAATATTACTTATTATGCTACGTTTTAGTTTCGATGTTTTGGAAACAATTCAGTGTATTCAAAACAAAATCTACTGAAACAAAATGATGACTAATGAATATTCTGGAATATTTATAGTATCAGAATAATATAAGTGACTAGAGTTTTCACGGGTAAGTACAACTAATTGCATTCCTTATGTTATATTTAAACCAATCACGAAAATTTTTTTTTGTTCATCAGTTCACCTGGTGAAAAAAATTGTAATCTCAAAACAAGACTCAAGAACAACAATAATATATTAATTTTGATATAAATTTTTGTTCTTCAACATAGTTTTTTGGCGGATTGATAGTTAATTTTTATTATATACAGGGTGGGACTCCAGATACGACACGGTCCCTGTGAACCAAACCATTGATTTTTTGTGAATTTCTCCATTGATTTTTTATTAATTTCTCCATTTCATTATATGTATATTAATTAAGGCTGCACGAGAAAATTATTTCATGGGTGGCTCAAAAAAGGGACAAATCAAAGTTGTGTTTTTTTTAACAGAACATCCTGTATTTTATTACACTAATGAATAGATCAGGAAAAAATTATATGATTTCAACCATTCATACCTAACCATAACCGTTCTTGAGTCATTGATTTTTTTTATGAAAATCATATAATATACAATTTGACACTAAATAACATAGAAATTTATAGAAGTCATCCCTTTGAATTCTGACCAAGCATAAAAGAGGTTTTGGGCTATTGATTTGATGTTCAAAACTCATTGTCACTTTTTTATAATTCCAAAGATAACTTTGTTATTTCAAATAAAACACCCTGTATTTTTCTGGTCTATATAAAATTCATTTATCTTTCATTTTATTTCGGGGTTTCCTATACCTAACCTAAATAGTTTTTCAGATATTGGCTTTTCAAACCGTAGTTCTTATTTAAATGCATTCTTTGAATCAAGAATTCATTGACAGTATTGTGTTTTACGTTATTCAAAAAATTCACTGAATTATTACCGTTGAAAATGAAAACTTATCCCATCCAAAAGCGGATGGATATTGCGGATTGCGGATAAGCGATTGGTGAGTGTTTGGAGAATTACCTTTTGGCGTTGAGGTTGTGTGCCCTGAAATATCCAGACTGGAATCATCCAAAAAAGTTAGTTTTCAAACGATTGCTACATGAATTTCGTAGAATGGAAGTGTAGCTTATGAAAAGGCGAATAGACCAAAACCCATCATTGGAAATGGGGAAAATGAATTTCTTATTATGGGATCAATCATAGAAACCCCTAATACGAGTCAACGTAAGACTGAAAAGGATGCAGCAATGAGCAGACGGGGCATTTTTAAGGCAATAAAAAATACAAATTTCACTATACCGTATTCAAATGCACCAGGAATTATATGAAATAGACTTCCATCGACGAATAGAGTTTTGTCTTTGGGTTCTGAACAAGTTAAGAGAGGATGAACATTTTTTGGATCCCATATTACATTCTGATGAATCAACTTTCCATAACAATGGCTTACTGAACAGACACAACATCCATTATTATAGTGATGTTAATCCTCATTTTTTCCGCACTCTGGACCACGTGTGCGGAGAAATTATAGCACCATACATGGAAACCTGAATGGTCAGAATTTTTTATAATTTTACGAGATGATCTGCCTGAGCTTCTGGAGAATATGCCACTAAATATTAGATGCAGCTCCAGCACATTTCAAATTCAGTGTCAGACGCTTTTGAATAGATGCTTTACGAATAATTGGATTCGTGGGGGGAGGGCCACAAAATTGGCCAGCGAGATCACCAGATTTTACTTGTCTCGATTTTTTCCTATGGGGATACTTGAAAAATGAGGTTTACGACACTCCTCCAACCACAGTGGAAAATATAAAGGAGAGAATAAGGGCTGAAGAGTGACGCCTCAAATGATATTAAATTTTAAGTATCTTTCATAAAGATAGTGGATCTTTGTATTCAATAGAATGGTCGCCATTTCGAAAATCTACCTTGAATTAGATATACATTTGTGTTTCATATTTTGTTGTTTCAGTTGAATAATAAAAAAACTGTATAGTCTGTGAAAGTGAAAAACTTCAATTTAGTGAACAGTAAAGTGAAGTATAACCACTGTCAACGAGAATTCTGTGAGCAAATTAAGTCGTTTCCAAACATCTTGATTCGAAGAATGCATCAAAATGAGAACTATATTTGAAAAAGCCAATATTTGAAAACAATTCAGGTTAAGTATAGGGAACCCTGATATGAAATAGAATTTTATATTGTTGAGACCGAAAATACAGGGTGTTTTGTTTGGAATAACAAAGTTATCTTTGTCCAAAATTATAAAAGTGACAATCATTTTTGAACATTCTGTATAATATCGAGAAACAAGTTTTATCGAAACCAATAGCCCAAAACCTCTTTTATACTTGGTCACAATTCGAAAGGATGATTTCTATACATCTCGATGTTATTCAGTTTCCAATTGTTCCAACTGCATTTTCATAAAAAAATCAATAACTCGAAAACGGTTATAGTTAGGAACACAGAACCTTGTATAAAATCATATAATTTTTTCCTGGTCTGTTCAAAAGTATAACGAAATACAGGTTGTTCCAGTTGACAAACCACAACTTTGATGTCATTAATGAATTGATTGTATGTATTGCATTTTTGTTTTTCACTTGATTCAGAATGTTCAGCTTTTTTCTCATTTTTCCCTGTAATATAAAATACATAGAAGTTGTTTGAATGAAATGGCTCTATATAAACATTTTCAATATCTTAATTTTACTTCTGAATTTTTCAGATGTATTTCTGTTTCTCAAATCAATATCTGTTTATTACATCTAGTATCTTCTCAAATAGAAAAGTTTTAATTACCTTAGAATCTTTACTGATCTTCCAAATTTAGTAAAAATGGATGTTCTGATAAAATGAAAATCTGGCAACACCGCCAAATTTCGCTGTGCTATGCACAAATCACGAAATAAATTTAATCTCCAATAAAGTATATCTGGATCTTGCTAGTTAATTAAATATCTTTCAAATTCAAACTTATGATATACAATTTAATGTGCAATGTAGGTCTTCGAATATTTTTGAACTACCTACTATTATTTTTTGTAATTTACTCATTTATTTAGGATCCATGCAATGTACCAATCATTCCATTAGTTTTCAACTGTTTCTCTGTTTCACACATCCTAAATACTCCTATTCATTAGGTAAATCATATAATGACAAATTAGTAACAAATTGATAAAATTTGAAGGTGGTTTATGTGATGATAAGACTCTATTGTTCGTTTCTGGAATAAAGAAAGTAATTTTCTACGTAATAGGTACGTCAAGTCTAACTTCTAATTTTAAAATATCGTAATTTATGTGAAATTATTGTTAGGTTATGTTGTGATGAATATAGTCTTTTCTATAGTCGAATATTTTCTCCAAATATTCTGTAGATATCTTATATAAACATGAATGATATTACATTTCCTCAAATGGGTTAATAATTCATTATTGGTTGTCACCGAAAAAATAAGTCGTAATAAATTGATGAAACCAAGGAATTTGTCGTTTTTAATAGAAATAGAAAGGACTTCTGAATACCTAATAATTTTCTGATATCATAAGGAAAAAATCCGTTTAGAGTTTGTGCTTACTAATTTACACATTGACAATGAGTTTGTTGTTCATATATTCGAGGTCGTAGTTTTCGATGAGGTTATATTTACGTCATTAATAAATACCGATATTATATTTCTACCAAATCAATGAATGAACTTGAATATTAGTTTAGTATTTACGTTCATGCTCTAAAAACTAACTGCTACAGATGATAAAACAATTTATAATAAAGAAATGTGATTCTAACCTCCTTGTTTTAGATTGTCAGTTTGGTCAATTGGAATGACAAGGAGAGGCAACACTCCGCTGAGTCCGACAAGGATGGAACCAAATATGGCCCATAACCATGGGATGTATTCCAAAGTACAAATCCATCCTGGTACGAATTCCTTAACTATTTCCTTGAAGGAACCGTCAAATTGAGTACTGTTTGTGTCCGAGAGGCATACGAAACTGTTTCCAAGAAGTGCCATTTTTGAATTTTGATCGACATATAAATTCCACTACACTCACTTAAATACCGATTTAATTCCGGAAAGGAATAATCTGCCGACTAATCTACTCTGAGACTGAGCCGGACAAATTATATATATGAAAATTAAAAAATCTAATCAAATCTCACTCATTTTATACCACATCTACTTATCAGTGTCGTGTGAACCATTCTCATTCTTTGAACATTAAACAAAACAACAGCATGGTTTGAGTGACGGATGCAACATCCCCTCCCTTCGAAATCAGAAACGTTCAGCATCAGTTCTGCTGTATTCCACCAAAGCTAATAAAGCGAACATAGTAGCGTTGCCACATCAATAACAAAGAAGCCAAATGACTGATCTTCGTTGGGTTTGAACGAAATTAAATACTTTAATTTCATTTCATGATTTGTTGTGGTACTCTAATGCTGCAGTAGAAAGGAATTTTCACTCACGCTTGTCATATAGACCATAGTAGTAACGTTGGGTAAAATCATGAATTTTGATTCATTGGTGGGGCAGAGTATTTCTCAATTTTTCCGTGTATATCTAATTGGGCTGAAATTTAAAATTTTCGTGCATAATTCTGATATTTCGAAAGCATTATTCAACATTATATTTATGGGTCTCAACTTCTCTGTTGTTGACATAAAATTAGAAACATTTTTTATGACTGAAGGAAATGACTGAAGGAAGGAAATTGTTCTAACATATATGTGGTGACTTCGGTTTGATAAACACCAATAGAAAGAGGCTTGATGAGAAATTTGAAACTGAATAGTTTAATGGTTGTTATCTACAATGATATTGGAATTATAGGCGAACATATAATTACGTTTTTTCAATGTCTGAATCACAGTCTAAATTACAAATATGAATAATAATATATACTTGGTTTTGGGTGTTTTATCGTATGAAAATTAATTTTATAGGTAGAATTGGAACGTCTGGCGTATAATGAATCTATTAATAACATTTTTCCGATATTAGAACACAATACGCGTGTTTTGCTACTCAAGAAAGACGACAAGACGGCGATGAAAAGTATATTGGTTGAACCAAGCAGACTATAATAAATCGTTACAAGGAACATGTTTCATATATTCGGTTTCATACACCAGATGAGTCCAGTGCCCCTCATAATACCTCATACAACGGACACTGAATAAGTGAACAATGCTTGAAATTGTTGAAATCGATACATGACAACAGGTTTTAGAATGCCTTCGAAAGTTCACAAATAGAAAAATTTGTGGAATGAAATCTATGAACCGCGACAAAATTTTCATTTCTAACGCCCGCCCTTTAGGCTCGTACGTAATAATTACAGATAGAAAACTGGTATAATAGGTAGTGATTAACACTAGGAAAAATAACAATATAACGCAATGGATTATGCCAGCAATTAATTCCATTCTGGTAAGGTGATGGTCTATTCTGATGTATATAAAAACATTGCAGTTCCAGTCATTTTCTGATGATGCTAAATTGGTTAGTGAAACGCTCCTTGAGTGACAACATTTTGTTCTAGTGTGAAAAAGTGTTTACAAATTAATGCATTCTTTTCAAACCTCATTACCGATAGATTTAACCTTAAAATGCAATAATAAAATATGATGCTTGATTTCGAACTGAAAAATATAGGAGAGTAAATATAGGAGAAGTAACTTCAATTATTCAAATCTGTTGAAGAAAAAATTCAACTTTCATGTTGTTTGAAAAAACTCTTTAGATAGGATCCGCGCCTAATTTCTATTCACACTCTATTGATTTGAATACTGTTTTCTCGGTGGAAACGAAACCAAAATATTGCAAACAGAACACAGATAGGTATGTTGTTGTCCCTTAGAGAAACATAGTTAGTGATTTGTCCGAATGTCTTTTCCTTATAAGTTCTGTCTGATGGAAAAGCGCCAATCAACTTAGGAGAACGATTTTCAAATTCTTAATTAAATTGGAGGATTAGTTGTACGTCATATTCAAATTTGCTTCTTATCATTCTCAAGAATTGAAATTGAGAGAACAGTCATGATTAAATGGCATACAGTATCATATATAAATGTCACTTATGAACCAACTTTCAAGGACATTTTGAAAAACACTCAGTTTTGAAATAAAAAATGTTTCATGTTCCTTAAAATAAATCAAATTTTTTTCAAATATTACGTCATATTGATCCACATGCTATAAGAAAAGAAAATACACTAAACTGCCTGGGCTGTTACATATGGTGGTTGTAGCACACATACAAAAAAGCATTTCATCATCAATAATTACCAACTTTGTCATTTAGCAATATCATGAGAGTAAAAGTAAAAACCGTATGATAAAACTACGGACTCGTGGTTTCATCATGCATCGACATAAGAACAAAATGTCAATTCTCAAATTGAATTGATTTCATTACCAGAATAACGAGAAATTTCAAGAGCATTTGCTTGAAAGCGTAATGTTCGAATGTATGAACAGAGTACGTGAATGTCTGGAGTCGCATTTGTCAATAATAGTCGACCTACTTGATGTGACTAGATGCATCACGAATACGTCACGTATTCTTTTCGATGTCATTGAAATTGAGAATGATGCTTTCATTCGAATTATTCGTGACTATGGTATTGAGTTTTCTGTATATCATATATAATTTTCTGATTGATTCGGCCGTTACTTGATGAAGATCCATAGTAATTTGAAAAACTACACCTCACGATTTGATCTCCACAAACTTTATTTGAAAAATATATCACATGTTTCGCTAGCACAGTATCTTTTTCAAGGTAAGGTGTAGTTTTTGAAATTATCATACATATATTGTTGGTATTCAAGGAAGAGTTTGAATTGAAGAATTGTTGTCTTTTCGTTATATTATAGGAATAAGCGAAGTGTGGCAATTCACTTTACATTTCGGTCTCTTGTATCTGTTCATTGTATTTGTGAGTTTTATTTGATTTGTATATCCATTTTGGTTTTCTGAGTAAAGTTAGAATATTATGATATTCATAATATCAAATTGAACCTGTGAATTTCTGTAGAAGCATTCATGCAAAGTATCGATATTGGTTCATTGGTTCAATAGGATTAGCACATTGACAGTAATTGAAATTGTGATATTGATTCATAACTAGGCCCCGACATCCACGCATGATACAAGAATAATTACACCTAGATACTAATTTCATGACTGTCAGTTGTATTGCTATCCCTATTGTTTTATCGCTATAAGACTCTATTTTGGTGGACTGGCCTTCAACTTTTTCATTATTTAATCGTTTCTAACGAAATAATCTGTTAAATAATTTTCTAACTGGCAACGCTGTATCGAAAACTGAAATGTTGCTAATAACCGTGGTGGAATCGACCAGTAAGATAAAGTGGATTTCCGTACGCATGACTGTAAAGTGAAGCTGTATTATGCGTAGTTGTCATTGTTGTCAAGTTGAATTTTTTTAATTCTGGAGAAACAATTGTTTGTTGGATTATTGCATTTCCGAAACAAAGGTATGGTAACAATAAGTAATTAACGATTTACGATGTTTCTGAAAATTGAAAAATACAGTAAATACGAGTAGGACTCTCGGTAATCTCATCAGTATCTTATCCGGTTAAAATAAATACTTTTTATTCAATTGTTTATCATCTATCAACTCACTCCTATCAATAATCATTCAACTGATAGTTAATTAGGGACTGATGGTTTCAAGTCAATTGTGTAGATTAAAGTATCTATTGACCACAAACAAACATTTTATAGTTTTCACTACTTTGTTCCTTGTTTTGTTCTTCCCTTCCGAAGTTCATTCGCATTCAACAGAAAAATGACTTTCATGGGGATATCCTAAACGGTAGGTAATACTATAAAATATTTGAATAAAGTCTGTTTTAGTAAATATTAATTTCAACAGGTCGCGCTAATTCAAAACAACTATTTAATCAAACGCACCTTTCTACGTATTTTTATCCACTGATCAATTCTGAAGTCAATACTTGATGTTCCGGTTAACTTTTGAAGATACTGCCACTAAAAAGTGTAAACAGCGTAAAATGACAACTTTTTCCGATGGTGTCATAGGACTACCTAATTTTATTCACTTTCCTCTTAAAATTTTTCCCCACAAAACTTTAAATTTACCCAAAAATTGTATTTGTCCAGTCATTTTAGGTCGATTTAGGCCTGTATTTCGGAAAGTTGACATACCGAGCTGTAAATTTGTATAAACTTTGTATTTTGGCATCATAAAAGTATTCTCAAAATTCACATATGATTCGACGGCCGAATAAATTGCATTATTGAATTCATAGGTCGATTCATTAATGAAAAAAAATATTCCAATATAATGTACTTGGTACCTTAAATGAGCTGATTTCAATCGGGACAACCAGTTGATTTCAAATAATATTTAATCTACGCTCGCGCCGCCCTCTATCTCAAAAACGATTCAACATATGAAAAAATGTTTGAAACAAAAGTTGTAGAGAATTTAATTCTCTACAATATTGTCAATAAATACAATTAGCATTAAACCCATTGGAAACGAGATATTGGCAAAAAAACTTGCAAAAAGTCGTTTTTTTTATTTTTGACTCCCAATTTTTTATGTTACGGCCGTCGAATCATATGTGAATTTTGAGAATACTTTTATGATGACAAAATACAAAGTTTATACAAATTTACAGCTGGGTATGTCCACTTTCCTAGGCAAACCTCCTAAAATGACTGGACTATATATTTTCCAGCAAATAATAACATAATTGTTTATGAAACTATAAATAACACTCTTACAAGATACTCATTATCGATTCTGTTGCCAGACTTGAAAGGTTATGGGAAAAAATAAAAAATGACTCCTTTTTTCATTTAGAATGTGCCTTCCATAACTGATTACATATTTGTGTAGTGTTTCATTAATAAATAGGTGTAATTGACAAGTATTCACTTACGCGAATAAAAATACATAAATGAAAAATTTACGTAATTTAGCAACATAATTTGCATATTTTTATAGAACTTCTTGGGAATTTTTACCACAATCTGAGAAAAAATAAAAAATAATGAAGTTTGTTCTTTCTACACCTGCACAAATTATCCATTAGGCTACGATTTTTATTAAATTGTGGAAAAGGTGAAAATCCTCAAAAAGTCGATACAAAACTCTGATTTTCTTTGTTTTAAGGACGAAACACAAGCACTACAGGGAAATCCTTACGGCGCTCTAAGAGCGGTGCCTATGCGAAAATAGCGATTCATACTAGATATGAATCTTTGGAGATAAATGCATTCGGAAATACTTTTTCAGGAAGTTCCACATAAATGCATTCTCCAAATGAAAGAGTTCTTAAACAGTGAAACTCGAGGTGTACTGAGTTGAACATCAAAACAATGAACAGCCACAGTCCGTTGCATATTTCTGATATGCACCGCTCTTAATGGAATCAAATGTGCCAAGTCACTGGCACACCTCCCGTGAAAGTATCTATGGAAGAGACACAAATCTCCAACCTTTCTTCGATGTTCCGATGTTCTTGAATGGCATCTTGCCTCTACCTTGCCCGTTTGTCTATTGAGCCGTGACAGATATTCACAAAAACAGATATTGTTATTCGAACGTATCTGAATCTCATAATCATAATACGAAATCAGCGAATCTGTTCAAAATACCTTTTTATCGACTTGACGTGTCCAGGAATAACTCACCTGAACTNATGAAATATTTAATTTTCAAGCAGAAGGAAAATATTTGACCATATTGCTCATTAACCTTTATCCAATGCTCTCGGGTATATGCTTCAAAAACTCCCAAAATAAGCTAAAATGTATCAGTTCTATTTGCAAGTTCTTAATCGAAGTAAGCTGAACAAAAGTTTATGATATTCAAAACTAGGTTTAATAATGAACAATGAAGAAGAAATGAAAATTGTGAAGGCATATACTTAATACAATTTTATTTCTGGGGTCAGGCGAGCAAAGTCAAATAACATTAGAACACACAAATAACACTAGATTCTAAAAACAGTCGATATGTAAAATACAAACACAGACACAATTACAATGATAACAAGAGCATTACAATATCAGAACAACAATTCTCAAATAAACCAGCTTTCAATGGAAAATAAACTCAATTGCCATTTTACTAGACAGAAAAAATAACTGCATATGAGTGCCAGTAGCATTAAAAGTAGAATATAAAATGTGGTGAATTGGTTCAACGTTACCGTTGAATATCATTTCCTGTTTGAAAACAGATTATTAACTTATTCCATCCATAATTCAAAAAGTTCAGGCTCAAGTTCTGGTTGAGGAAACAGATGACGTTCAGTCTACAAATCATTAAAAGATATATTAGAATGATGTATAATAGTAGTAACTGCAGCAGATTGCCCAACAAATTATTTGACTTTTCCTGTACGAGTAGGTTAGTAATCTGGAAAATACTGTTCTGAAAGTTTTGACTTTGTGGTTTAAATGATTCAAATTCCATCTTAATATGACAAATATTTACATATGGACAAAAATATTGTTCCGATTCCGATTTGTCAATTGTGTGCAGTTGTTTCCAATTCCAATTGAAGTTCTCTTTCAGGTCATTATTATACTTTGGCCTATTCTGACGGGTTTCTAAATAGTGACTTGGGTAATAGTGTTTCGATATGAAAGTTGTAGGAGAAAGATTCAACTGGCTCTTCCTACATTCTTATTTATATGACAAAAAGAATAACTTCATCAATGAAGAATTTACCTTGCATAGGTGTCGCTATATTATTTTATTTCCATTTTTTCCAATTTAGTTGTGTCTTTATTTCAAGATTAATTTTGTTAGGCCGGCCATACACGTTACGGTATACCGGAGAGGTATACCTGCACAGGTGCATCTCTCCGGTATACCTGTACAGGCAGGAGCTCACACACGCGACGGTAAACCGGATCAGTGAATGGTGGACAATCGAGAAATGGCGAGCCGATAAAATGACGTATTTGCTTTCGTGGGTTTGTTAGTGGTTTTAAACAACAAAAAAAAGAAAACGCAGGACGTGGTGTAAAAACTGGCTTAAAAAGAAAAACGAGTATACTCATACAAAATTATTGAAAAAACTATGTTCAGATCCTTTGGATTATCGCAAATATTTGCGGATGACTGAAGAAACTTACAAAAAAGTTCTCTCACTAGTAACACCCCTAATCCAAAATGTAAATACAGTGATGAGAACTTCTATCTCACCACATGACAGACTTACAGCCACTCTAAGGTTCTTAGCAACGGGTCGTTCTTATGAATGCATGAAGTATTTTACAATAATATCGCCTCAAGCTCTAGGCAAAATAATTTCTGAGACATGTGAAGCTGAAAAAAAGGATATCTTCAGGTATGTACAGTAAAAACACTGACATGCTATGACATTTAATTTATTAATACTAGTACATAATTATTAAGAAAATTACTGAATATCAGGTAAATGAAATAGTCAAAAACTACCGCCGAATTCATTAAAGTAGTTAGCAAGGGGAGTGTAGGTTCCTGTTGGGTTCCGGGTACTACATGTCTGGTTTGATACGAATGTAAATCGAACAAAGTTGTATTTGGAGAAGGACTTGAAGTCCTACTTGAGCTGGTACTTGTATGGTTAAAGTTGTATGAGTTTGTAGGCACATTAAGCATTCCCATTTCTGCTTCAAAAAGAACACCATTGATGCGTTTTCCAACAATAAGACGCTGACGTTTTTCTAAAGCTCTAATCCTACATGCCACAGATTTTCCCAAGAGGTCATAGCGGTCATCTTGAGATGGAGGCTTCTTAAAGTAATCTCTCACTGATACCAAAACGTCGCTAGTTAGTTTCTCATTTTTCCGCTTTTTTGCTGTGTTTGGACGCAGAGGCGCTCCACGTTTTTCTGTTTGAGTAGGGCTTCTTGGATCAGAGGGCATTGTGGACGATTCTTCACTTGGGGGTGTCTGTTGGACAGTATCTTCCGGTTGCTCCTGAAAAGGAACATGAATTATTAGATTTTGACATAAATAAAAATAAGTAAATTTGGTTTTATAGAAACGTATATATATGCACGTGAACAGAATATTATAAATGTTCTTTGTTTCCCGATTTTAGTGAGAAATGGAATGACATTTCTAAGTCATTTGAAGAGCGGTGGAATTTTTCGCACTGTTTGGGTGCCATGGATGACAAACATATCGACATAGTTCCCCCAGCAAAGTCTGGATCTTTTTATTTCAATTACAAGGGTAGACACAGTATGGTACTTCTCGCAATAGTGGATGCTAGCTATCGGTTCCTCCTGGTGGACTTTGGAACAAATGGGCGCAATTCTGATGGGGGCGTTCTTCTAAATACTAAATTTCATGAAAAATTGGAAAACAACCAGCTTTCCATACCGGAGCCGAATGAAAATTTCAAAAAGGTGTCTTATGTTTTTGTAGCCGATGACGCCTTTCCCCTCACCACAAACATTATGAAACATTTTCGTCAGGCGCAGCTAGATTCAGCTGACAAAGAGATTTACAACTACCGTATTTCAAGAGCAAGACACGTTGTTGAAAAGAGCTTTGGAATACTTGCAGCCAGATTCAGGATCTTCCACACTCAAATAAATTTTTAACCAGGAAACATAATAAAAGTAGTGAAAGCAACTTGTGCTCTGCACAATTTTTTGATTGCACAACAGCCAACCTCTTATGCCCCTCCAAGTACTATATATCAAGAAAATTGTGATGACGCTATTTCTAACATAGGTTCGGATTCCTCTGAATCAAACATGATCCCATTGCAACGTCTTAACCAAGGGAACATAGTTAATGCTGCTAAACGGCTTAGAAATGGGTACCCTTCCTACTTTGTGGATGAAGGCGAAGTTTCATGTCAGGACACACATGTATATAGAAATGTACAATGTGTTAATAAATGTTTTTCAATTCTGTTGTAATTTACATGTACTTGTTCATATTTCTTTCAATTCTGTTGTAATTTACATGTACTTGTTCATATTTCTTTAAATTTTTTAAAGTATAACTTACCTCATCAATCTCGCTTCCATCTTCCTCGTCTACGTTTGAAAAAGAAGTACTGGGTACATCGTTGTCTCCTAAGAAGTCAAATAGATTGAATTACCACAACGTTGGTGAATACAGATTGTCCGTACCCGCTCCAGATTTCATTGACAAATCACGTTTTTTCTTCTCCTTACGCACATTGCTTCTAAGGTTGTTTATGTTTTTCACCACCAAACTCTTATTCGCATCGGGCTCTGTCTCCTTCAATTTTGCAACAAGCCTGTCATAAGCGGCCCATCTCACGTCACGGTTATGGTACTCCTTGCTCTTAACTCGCCACAAACACGGTTCTGATCGGTAAATTTCAAAGAATTCCTCGAGAATTTGATTCTGTTTTCGGGCAGACATGATGAATTTAACACAGTTCAGCAATAAACTAATCAATAGACAATAAACTAAATAAACTAGCAATAAGCTAAACACAACACGAAGCTCTCTAGTCAGAGTATTTGCCACAATTCACCTCACACTGGTGTAGGTTTGCCGGATGACTCACATACACGTTCAGGTCTACTCGCCTGCGCAGGTAGAAAGAATTGAATTTCGATTCTTCTCCGGTCACCTGTACAGGCCGCTACGCCTGCACAGGTATAATGGTAGTGGCTGGCACACACGTTCCGGTTTACCTGCACAGGTAACCTGTACAGGTAAACCTCTCCTTTATACCGTAACGTGTATGGCCAGCCTTATAGATATCATAGAAACAATTCATTAACTGAATGTATACAAGGATTTTAAGATTTACACCAAAACGTGTGAACGTAGATTGGGGGTCTTAGCCTTAGCTCCAAATACAACTTAAGAACCACAAGTGATTCTGTCATTGCCATATCCAGCGGGGCTACGTGGAAGCAGGCATCCGATGACCGGTTTGCTCAACCCCCACATCCCAAGCCAATGCACTCGCCAACAAACAGCAAGAACAGTAGTTCAAGCAGTGAAAGATGAACAAGAAAAGCCAACCCGCCACTGATGCATCTTACTATGGTTGTGGAGCCATATTATATCAACGTGATCCTATAGAACCCAAAATACGTCAAATAAGAGTCATGTATTATTTTTCCTATACGTTTTCCAAAAGTGAGGTGAATTACTCAATTACTGAGAAGTAATGTCTGGCAGTGGTAAAAGCTGTTAAATTTTTCAAAAAATATCTGAAGGTAAACATATTTAAAATTCATACTGCGACCATAGCTCTAACGCAACTTTTGACATCAAGCCATCTAAGAGTTCATTTGGCTAGATGGCAGATATTTTTGAGGACTTTTGAAATGGAAATAAATCATGAATCGGGAAAATAAATAGAAGATGCAGATGATATTTCAAGACTATGTACAAAGTTTTTTCATCTTACTTAGTCTCGATGTTCTAATATCACACGAGAACTGGACTTTAGCTAAGAAAAACAAGTCATTAGTAGTTCTGAGCGCGCACAGGAAAATGAGTTTTCCGTCGTCACCATCTCCTCTCTACTAATTAAAAGAACTTTCCTAAAGGCCGGTTGGCAATGTCTACACATAGTTTGAACAAGTCTCGTTCTAAATACCGCAACCCGGCTGAAGCATACTATTTTTGTCCATGAAATACATAAGTGAACTTCATCAGAAAATAATTGATTTAGCTTGCCATGTGCGTTCAATTTGTCATATCCGTACGTGTCTTTGTATTGGTAGTCGAATTAATTGGGATTTGCTAACGTGAGATAAGTCATGTGTAATTGTCGCCTTTTGTGATTAAGTACATTGTGAAATGGATGCATGGGGAACTCTAGATATAGGAGCCGCTGCTATCGTCAGGGAAGACTTGAATAGTAGTTTCAGGAGGGCAAAGAAACTTGTGAGTAAACTAACTTTAATCAGCGAATTCTGGTTTTTTTCGAAAATATTTTTCTTAGTATTTCATTCAGAAAAAGTAATGTTTGATCGAGTCAAGAACAACAAAAAAAAAATATCGGAATTTATGATCACGTTCCAATTGACGAAAGTGTCTACCTTATTTCAAATTACAAGGCAATGAAAAAAGTTTTAAGTGTACTTTGTTACGAACCAAAAATTATTCAGATGTTTTGTACTAGTTATACATATTGAATCTAAGAGGCAGTTGTAGGATGCCGTAAGTAAACATTCATTTTTCTATTTCAAATATCAAATTCAGTACTCCATATATATCTTATTAGACGATGAGTTTCATTGGTTCAAGGAAGAGTTAATAAAAAGTATACATATTTATTTTCGAGAAGTTGACATTTCCTGGGGAATTCCTAGTATGTTGGGCCAATATATTGTTCCTGGGTATTGTGTGATATTTTTAGATAGGTACTAGTTCTTTCTATGAATATATGATAGATTATTTATTATATTGCTGAAACCAGTCAATTGTGAATTGTCTTTATATATTGAGTAAAAATAGCGTGAGTATCTGTGTGTGACTGTGTAGACACTGATACTGTGTCAATATGCATTAATTTGTTTATATGTTTATACATATTAAATCATTCTTACCTCCTCCACATACAGGGGAAACCCGCGTGGAGTTCAACCATATCTATTTTATTATATATCGTAATTTTGTATCATTCTATCTATTGATATTTTGAAATAAATGTTATTATTATAACTCCTTCAAACTCCTACATCAGAAACACTTTTCCTGATGATTGGTCCATTATTCTTAGAAAAACATTAACGAAACAACACCTGGCTATTCACGTTGTGTGTCTGGAATGCTATAACATTTTGAAAAGCTACCGTATGTATGGTCTTCTCTAGCAGACATAAACAGGTGAGCTTCTTTCGCATGTGACATGTCTTTGGAATAAGGGATTCGACAAACATGGAATCTTTCGAGCTATTGCTGTTGACAATTCCAGGAAAGTTGGTCGTGGTTGGCATGAGGTTTCACAAATTACATTTAAATGGTTTTCTTGGGGCTTTTTGTATTCCTTTTACATTTCTTTAGAGAAAGTTTTTTTACAAGTAGCAGTGATGGATCTCCTGATATGTTTACCATTGATATTGTTTTTCCGCAAGATTCCATATTGTGTTCAACCTTTCTACAGAACAACAATAGTCAGTTGATAATTACCAAAAATCCAAGATATTGATTCGCTGACTACAATGTAACTAAATGTAGCATAATCGGGAATAAATTTCGGTGGCTGTGTCGGTCAATTTAATGGGTATCAAACTGGATATAAAAATGTGTTGGTATATACAATCATGTCGCTGGAATAGCAAAGGTCACTTTTCAGAAACATGAAACACCATATTTCGGACCAAAAATATGTTGAAAATCTATTAAAATATGTTTTCCCTTAACCAGCCGTCGCCTCCCCTCCACGAACGATAACATTCAAAATTCGAAACTTGTACGAACTAAGAATTAATGAAATCTCACTTACACTTCCCAAGTATAACCTGAGGTTGATGGATTTTATCCATAAAAGAGTTATTCGCCTTTAACTGAAGACCATAGAAAGATAAATTTGTTCCTCTTCTCTATTTCAAGTGTTCGACATAGCCTCTATGGAGCAGAGTTTGTACATATGACTAAAAAATAAATTGAGTAGTAGGAGATCATCGTGAAAAATAAGAAATAAAACTTCCAATGTGTTTATATCACTTGTATTCGTAACTAACATTACTACAGTTTCGTCCTAAAAGGACATTTTCAAACTAATAAAAAAACTGTATCACTTTGAAAGTGTCCTTGTAGGACGTAACTGCGGTAACGTTAGTTACAAATACAAATGGTATGAAAACAGAAAGTTTTATTTCTCATTTTTCAGAATGAAAAAATAGTCATGACACAACTCCAAAACGTTATTATTTTCGTTTGGACAAAGGCATAGAATATAGTTGAACCAATGGAATAGAATTGAATGGAATGGAGTGGAAAGGAGTGGAGTGGAGGAAATAGAATGAAATATAATAGAAGCTCATTTGAAACAATCCTTCTATGTATCTTCTAGTGTTCACTCTTGATTGTCTGATGATCTGAATCATGTAACTAAATAGCCGTTTGCCTAACGGTGAGACGGTAGCCGATAGGATTGACGTGGGTGCTTTGCTCCACTCACTCAATCGACCGCTGTGTGAACCGGTGGTTCAAGCCGCGAGGCCGGACGATAGATTTTCACTTCCTATCGTCCAACCCGCGCTGGGAATCACACGTTAAAAGGTAAGACCCCGTTAGTCCTTAGCTCGCACAAGCTTCGACTTTTGATAGTTGTCGTGCGTAGAAGGGCGACAGCTGGTTAACGGAAAACATATTTCAAACAGATCTGAAATAATGGGGTTTGCAAAGTCAAAACTATGGCTATTTGCTCTGATGTGTTCAACAAGGGCTGTTGGGTTGATGATATTCAAATTTTTTGGCGTCTTCTTCATGTTCAGACAAACCGTTTTTTAGGTAACGTCTCTTTTGTCCTACATGACATTTCGAAAAATCCTTACAATCATTTTCTTGAATGAATTTTATTCCAAAGAGTTGTCACTCCAAACACAATTTTGATATTTTTGTCATTGTGGACCTATTCCAACCTATGTATTTGTTTGAAAATAGAGAACTTTTTTATATAAATGCTAAAGAACACGAATATAACACAAGGAGTCATGACCTCATTTATCCATATCATACATTGGACTTACTGAAAAATCTCCCTTTTATATGGCAATGAAATTTTACAACAAGTTACCAGTACTTGTTAGACATTCTGCTAGTAGCAATCATTTTAAAAAAACATCAAAAAGATACATGTAGATCTAGAACCTATTGTATTGAGGATTTTTTAATACATCAGTTTTTAATAAGAAAATCTTTCAAAATTCCAGTGTTTTTGTTATGGTTTTCAGTATAAGAAATTGTAACTGCTCTCAATTTTAAGTTCCTTATTAAATTGTTTTTCTATTGAAACTGTGTTGTGAAAAATAATTAACGAAACTTTCTGAAAAAGTATATTTTTGGTATCAATTGACTATGAAATGTCTAGATATCTTAGCCTCTTAGCCTACATTACATACGTTGTGTAGATCACAAGCCAATTCTTCTACGAGTATATTAAGAATCGTGTTTAAGTACATCATGATCAAAGAAGGCTTTTGGCGACATTTACCGAAATTGTTTCGAGATGTTTTCTAGTCCTTCGATTCATTTTGAATATTAATATGGTTTCTAAAGTTCCTGCAACTAGCAATGCACGGATAACCAAAATCTAAAAATAGTAACGATGAATGGAGGAACGTTTGAACGTATTTCGAATATTCTTTATTAATATGAGTTATGACTAGAATTTTGCATTTTGGCAGTGGAACAATCGATTTTTCCTGGTCCCCATTACTTATCAGATAATTTAAATTACCTCTGCTCCAAGTAAGTCTTACATTCTATACCTATCTTTCAGTAGATATGTTTGTGATTTTTGATATTTTTAGAATGTGCTATTTTCGAGAGAATATCTATGCTTTGAAATTCAGACGAGTTATAATTTTGCTTAGAGAAAATTCAGAGTAATCCAGTTGTGTGAAAGATTGTTTGTGTTTCTGTGATATTTGTATTTAAGTATGGATGTTTCTCCCGATGTTTGGGGTCAACTAGCCCTTGAGGCATCACAAGTATATTTAACCGATGGAACGGCGGCGAAAAGTCCATTTGCTGGAACGGTACGACTAAAAATAGGAATGTGTGTTGAATTTGATGTATTTAGATTTTCATTCAAGAGAAGGAAATGCATTGGACTGAAATAGACGATAATATTTACTAGATTTCACTTGTAAATTCAAATGAAATGAAAACCATTACCTACTGCAGAACTGGTTTACATAATGAGGATTCTCTATGGGTTTTTCTCATCCATTCCTTCTTTATGTTCATTTATAATTTTGTATCCTTTGTGGTTTATTTATCATAATACTTGTTTACAAAGTACACATTTTCTAGTCAATTAGAATATAAATTGTCTACTCAAATAATAATTTTTTTCATATCCCGTATTGAAATGAACAGTTCAATTTTTGTGATTTTTTGGAGTATTTTAACTTTACCGACTGAAATGAAGAAGAATCATCATTGAAATCATAATGAGCATGGAAAAATAGCCAACTCCTGAATCATTCTACTAACTATGTAAACTCAAAAATATTTTTTCAAACTGAAAATATTCCAAGCAGTAATATTAACAATATTAAATTTTGCTTATAAAAAATTCAATTAATATTGCAGGCATAGGTATATATCAAAATTTTGAAATTGATTTTAATGTTTAGATTTTTTGTTTGAAGAAAAAGTTATGTTTCTGTTGGGGGAACAAACTGAGTTTAAATGTAAAAATTGCAATATTTTCTAACTATTTGTACTATACTGATCAATAAACTAAAGAAACTGTGAAACTCGTATATCTGATTGATTAAGACTAAGTTGTTATATAAATAGAAAATATTCAAAATATAGTATTTTTTTAATCGCAATCATGTGCAATCAGATGTTAAAAAATACTCTCTGTTAATTGTCGAGCTTAGAAAACTTTTCATTTTCTTTTTCGAGACATTACCACGAGATTTTAAAAGGAAATAAGTATCAGAATATTAGTTCTGAACGCTTATACACAAATGTATGTCATAATGTTAAAATAGATTGGAAAAATAAAATTTTGTAACATGACATGGCATAGTTATTGAACAATATGTACAAGTCCTCCAAAAAAGTCTACGAAATGGTGTTTGAAAATTTGAAAAATTATTCTAATTTTATTTGAGGCATCCTTTCGTTTCTACTATGTTTCAACAATTATTTTCGAATCAATAATATATAAAGGAAAATATAACTTTCATGCTGACTTCATATTTATAACCTCACGTAAGTCCTAATTTCACTTGTATAAATATGATAGAACTGACCCATACTTGATGAAAATTCATTGAAATGTATTCAAAAAACACACTTTACTGTGAGATTTCCACTTGAAAGTTTATAAAACCCTGACACGTGTTCCGCTATAGGATAACATCTTCGAACGTCACAAAAATTCTTTTGATACTGATTGATCACTTAAAATTTTTCATGAAAAATAAGTAAAAACGATATTCATGTTATTCAAGGCATTTTTTTGAATTCATTTTAATATTGACAAACAAAAAAAACAATCATATATAGTATCACACATAAAGTTCGCGACCTGTGGAAGTTTTTTTTAATAGATATAATGAAAATTTGACTTCGCAGTTAGTTTGTGCTTGAAAAAGGAGTTAAAAACAGCCTCTTTTATTTTGTCATGTGCTACTCTAACCTCCTAAATTTGACTTTTTCTTTAAAAATCCCTAAAAAATCAGTTTTCTTTTGGAAATTTCGAAAAATGCCAAAGAAAAACGTTGCCCAGTTTCCAATTTTATACTCTTGCTCGAAATTTGGAGTCTCTACTGTTGCTTCAACTTTTTTCCATTTTTTTTAATTTTTCAAATCTTTCGCTCTATCGATTCGAACGAAACATGATTTAAATTTCATAATTTTGATGAATACGAGACTTCAATGTTATATATTACCTAGAAAATACCCGCATTGGCCTGTTACCAGAATGAGAAATGAATACACCTCCAGAAATTTGTTTTTGTTGTTGCAAAGTCCATCTAGTTTTTTCATTTCATTGTTAACCTGATTCGGATTTTCAATGTATGGACGTTAATATGTCATTAATCGAATAAACGTATTTCTCTTCATTCTTATTACACTCGTATTCCTTTTTTTAGCAGATTTGTATCTCATTAGCTTAGCTGCACGTGAGTTCGAAATATTTTGATGCAGTTTACACCCATTAGTGTGACTATTGAATGTAAACTGTTAGATTGCGTTATCGAGCAGATAATAACGCTTCTTGAGCTAGTTCCATAAATCTTATATTCTTTATTTTCACCATTAGATGTGTAAATGATATTAAACCAAAATAACTAAAACCAAATTGACAACAAAACACCATAACATTCATTAATTCATCTCAATAATCTTATAAAGAACACGAATTCATCATTCAGTATGCCATCTTCCCGTTCTATCCAAATTATAGTCCTTTCATTCACAGACTTTGTGCCTATTTTAATAAATAGGCAATTTATCTTAGCACAAAAATCCCGAATGGTATTCTCTAAATAGTCTTCATTTACTAATGGTTTGTGCCTATACACTTCTTGTTTCAGATAACCCCATAAAACAATCCATCGGAGATAAGTCCGGTGATCATGGTGGCCAATAATCTTTCCAATCTCGTCCTACCACTTTAGCGTTAGCCCCTGAACCTCTGACTGAGACACTGTTTCATTTCTACCGTTTAGTGGAACGCTGCTCCGTCAAGCTGATACCACAAATTTCTTCTAACTCTTAGAGGCAGATTTATATTTGTGCAAAATTTTTCTTACAGTTTGTCTGCCAACCCCTGTATCTTCACTAATACTCGTACTCCTAATATTAGCTTTTCCGTTTTCAACAACGCTCAAAGAAACATTGAGTTGTTTCACTTCATTTTACTTTATTATTGGATTATGTGGTTTCTTGAAACGATTGTCCACAGATCCAGTTTTTTTAATGTTTTAATTATCCTTCCCACGGTACTATGACGAAGAACCTTATTAACTATAAAACATTTTTTCAATAACAATTAATTCATACCGAAAATTTATTTTCATATTTTCTTTTCATCGATGATTCGCAGTCTGATTTTCATAATCTTATGAAATATTTTTTTTTCAAGCTAGATTTCGGTGCACTACATATTTTTATCTCAAGATCGACAAGACAAAAATTTGTTTCAGAAAGACTTCCCGTATATAAAAATTTTAAATATCTAAATATCATTTCAGACAATCGAGAAACTGCCAGAAACAATCCTTTGCCACATCTTCAGCTACTTAAGCCACAAAGAAATATGTCGAATGGCAAGAGTGTGCATGAAATGGCGTCGTGTAGCTTACAACACTTCTCTTTGGAAGAACGTTTCACTCCGCCCAGAAATTTCAGGACTACATGTTGGATCTCTAGAGTTCCTTCTCTCCTTGATCAGCATCAGGTTCGGCCAGTCTTTGCGATATATCGAGCTACCAATTGAATTGATCACCCACACGGTTCTACACGAACTGGCAAACAAGTGCCCCAATTTAACTCATATGCTACTTGATTTCTCCACGGCTATGCAGCTTCATGATTTTAGCGAGCTCCAAGCCTTCCCCACTAAACTGAAGTACCTGTGCATTTGTCTATCTGAAGTTATATTTATGGAAGGTTTCATGAGAAAAATCTACAACTTCATAAATGGACTGGAAATACTTCATTTGATCGGCACGTATGAGAAAGTCGAAGAAGAAGAGGAAGAAATATATGAAGTCATCAACGTCCACAAGCTCAAGTCTGCTACGCCAAATTTACGAGTTATTAATCTATATGGCATTAATTTTGTGGACGACAGTCATATAGATGCTTTCAGTTCAAACTGTATTCAGGTGACGAATTTTTTGTGTACTATAATTTCCAAAATGTTCTGAGATATCATCTTTAACTCATCATTCGAAAAATATTAGTAATAATGATCTTTCATCAGTTTCGGGTTGCTTAGGTACAAGGTGTATGTTCCAATGAAATGTTGATTTTCCTGAAAAATTTTATAATGAATAAGTGGTTTAACATACACAGATCTCTCAAAAGAATCTTGATTCTACAAGTGTGGATTAGAATTTCAGAGTTCAGAATTGGGAAGAGAAATGATACAGATGATACAGTCTATGAAGATGTGTATAAATCAACTTGCAATAAGTGCACAAAAAAACAAAATAAATTTTGCCATTATACCATATTGAACATATAATTACTCAAACTCGAAACTACAGCTATTTTTTCTGTTACAGCATAAATGAAATGGGAGGTGAACTTTTTTATTCTATTAATTTTGTCATTCTACCCATATTTTTCATTTCTCTTTGGACCTATTCTGAAGTCCACGCAGACAAAGTCGCTGATAGAAGCTAGTTTATAATTTTAGGTTAGGTTCAAAATGAAAGTGACTCTCTCCTGAAACCAATAAGGGTTTTTTTTGTCTCAAACTGTGAAATTATTAGGATATAACCTGACAAGTACTTGATTGAAAAAGTTGATTAATTGATAGTCACGTGAATAGTTCTTTAATATTTATACGAAATCACGTGAAGATCAGTAGAAAACACTTTCTCAACACTAGAACGAAAATTACAGTCTCTCGACGCCCGTTTCGCCAACCAAGTTAGCGTCCTCAGGAGATCATAATGACTGAATGTTAGTTAGATTTTTTATATGCTATAGTGGCCTAACTATCTACTACCTGGTAGTAGGTATTACCTAACTTCTACCTGATATTGATCCTATGCCAAACTACCTGTTTTTTAATACCTCTAATTTGTTATGAATTTCCTCTATCTGAGTGATTATTTCTAATATTCATCTTATTTTTATTTGGAATTATAACGTAAATGGCCAAACAAAGGGATGTTCCAGATAGGACTTCCATTGTCTGATATTATATAAAATGATTAGAAATCCCTGAAAGAACTAAAAAAGAAGAATTAAAAACGAATAGCTGAAAAACAATTATTTTAAGCAAAAAAACCTGAAATGAAATAATAGTGAAATAAAATATAAGTAAAAATAGAACAATTGAACACAAAATAAAATAAAAAGTTAAAAAGATTCCAAGCCAAGTTACTTTACGACGTTTCGATTGTTAGTATCCACAATCGTCTTCGGGTGACGAAGTTTTAGTTGAAGTGTTTGTTGTATTTAAAGTGAAATAAAGTTAACTTTGATTATTGTTCAGTGTAGTGAATTATTGGTAAATCCACGGGGAAAAACGTAGGCGTTTTTTCGAATAACACTTAGAATTTCTCAGGAACTTCAACTTCAAATTAGGAAAGATAGGTTCATTACAGGATGAAGTCAGCACTAGGTAATTTTCCTAAACACCGATTATATTTTTAAACTGTTTTTTTATCTTGCCCAGTTTGTTTGGATCAAATTAAGAACCTACCTAATTGAAGTTTGAACCTCTTCATGTTGATAGATTGATCTGGTATTTGGTACACACATTTAGTTTTGATGACAATACAATTTGATAAATTCTGTATAATTGTAAATCCAAGATGGCCACATCTACAAAATGGCGGAATTCATATTTTTTCACAACTACCTCAATATGGGTATCAAATGACAAGGCTTGACTAATAGAATAGTAGTACACTTCGAAAAAGAAGTAAATCCAAGATAGCCGCAGCTACAAAATGAGGCATTACATATTATCTCCTACCCAACTCAAGATTTTGTCTCGCTTCACTGTCTACAAAATGCAAGACAGCGCTGTAGACCACGCAGTTATATATTTAGTCTCGAAATTGTTTGAAGAAAGACAAGCATACGTGGCCCTAAGTCGAGGAAAGTCTTTGGAAGATTTATATATTGAGGAGTTAGATTGCAACAATTTGTCGGGAAATAAACCATGTAATACCGATACACTAAATGAACTAAATAGAATGAGAAGAATTGAGAAACTAAAAACTAATTAATAGATAGTAATTAACTCGGTGGGGTGTATTAGTGAACTGATAGACTCGAAATTGTAGCAAATTGTGTAGCTAATAACAATTATGGTCCATACAGGACAAGCCCGAGTATATGTAAGCATGGACAACTCCTGCCTCTTGGATCGACGGAAACGTAACCTTGCTTTTCCAATGTACGTACGTTATGTTTTAGAGTAAAGCTTTGACACAGACCACTGAATGAGAAATCATTAGAACCTTATGAAAACAGAGCCAAGAAACGAGGACTCTTGTTTATTTTCGAAAAGTATGCTTTGAGTTTTGTGTCGATTCCATATAAAGCATCTTCGTAAGAGATGTTGTCTGTGTTTGGTTGAATTCAAGCTTGTTCTCTAAGGACAATTGAGTTCAAAAATGCGTTCGTGGTTCAGCCTAGTGATCGAGTCCTATAACAGATCGAAACTGATGTGCTATCCAGGGATGATTTGTTTCACGGCCCTGGTTTAGACTTTAGACCACTGAAAAATATGAATTTTTGTTTGCAGAAAAATGAGCTGGCGTGATTTTGTCCTATAAATGAATTCATCCTTTGAAGCTCATACGAAGTTCCAGAAAAATTTCTTCATAAATAAAAACTTGCCAAAAATTTGTATTATTGATTTCTGAAATATGGAACTTCTCACAGGAACTTCATGTGATATTTGAATTAGTAGAGATAAATTCATTTTCGGTTTGGTTTGAAGTTGGTTTCAGCTTATTTTCATTAAACAATAATTCGTGTTTTATTATCAATGATTGGCTCCTGATTAAACATCGTGAGAGCCAAAATGATAACTGAACAGGAAATTTTAATTGTCTGCCAAACTTCTCTGGAAATTGTAGAACATGAAAAAACCAATTTGTGCTGGATAACGAATATTTCGTCTTTGCGCTCTAATTTCATCTCACTGAAAATATTGGAGGTTTGTGATATCAACACATTTCTGGTAAGGTTTTTGACAATTTGCTCTAATATATAGAGTAAAAATTGCTTCCATCAAGTCCATAATTAAAAAATAATAATTCATTTGATGATCAGCAAATTAGCTAAACTCTCGGAAATATGGAAAAACTTCAAATTTACCATATATTAATATTATTGATCAAAATATTGCTTCGAAAAATACAAGTCCGTATTTAAAATTCTAAAGCTGATTCTGTCCTGAGTCATTCGACAACTTGCATAAAAATGCTGTTATTATATTCTGAAAATCTTGTTGCCACGACAAAGGACGAACAAAGGATGAACACTACACCTGGTGAATAATACTGGAGTTTTTTCCCAACACCAAACCGTCATTTTAACACCTCGACAAATTTTTCGACTACCAAGTGGTCATCTTCAAGAGGAAATTCAAACTGTTTGATATTCCTCTTGAAGATGATCACTTGGTGATCGAAACACGTGTCGAGGTGTTAAAATAACGGTTTGGTATTGGGAAAAAACTCCAGTAATATTCATTAAGACACTTATTTATTAAAACATAACTTTATTACTTCGAAAAACTTCAAAATTTTTTTTATACAAATTTAAAAAAAAACTCTTCATATGCCATCTCATGTTATCACTTGGCTTATATCGCAAACAAATGCTTTAGATACGCCATACGCCAGCGCATTCGGTCTTGGCCCATTTCAAATAAGTTTTGACATCGTACCCATGTTTCTCCCTCACGGGAACGGGAATATAAATCGTTACAAAATATACATGCAACATCATCCTCCTTGTGACTTTCAATTTCCAAATCGCCATTATCCTTTTCAGAGTCTTCTTCAGGTATTAAGACATTTTTTGCAGCTCGGGTGGATTTCCTTAGTGCGTTTTCTTATCAGCAACAAGCTTCTTGGCTAAGTTAATATCTGGGGTGGTATTAATAACTGCCTTTTTTTACCCTGTGACGCTTTAGGTAATGGTGATATTTCTGCCACAGAAATACATCCAACTTCTCTATTTTCATCAATATCTGGAGCAATGGAAACAACTTTTTCCGTCCGTCCTGGCTGAATACTTTCATCATTAGGTAAATCAGTAACATCGGCAGGGCAAAAAATCCAGTCTGGAATGACATTTGCATTAAAGGGGCAAATGACTGTGGAAGAAAAACCATTTGTTGCGTTTTTAACAGTGGCTGCTTTCATATATGCTGGGCTAAAAATCTCTGCAATTTGGAAATGTGTTACAGCCTGGCCTGGGTGATTTTTCAACCGTGTGGTGAGCTCTTGATTATAGTATGAACGAAGATCGAATAAAAATGCACGTCCAGAGGCTGGACCCGATGGGTGCATTGTGGCGGGAAGCAAAACAGCACTATGCCACTTTTGCGTATGATATAACTTCCAAAAAGGAACATTATATGTTTTTTATGCATTCCATTCTTTTTTGTTCAACAGCATCGATGGTTTGCTGCATATTTTGCTCGGGCCAATTTAGTCTGGATGATTTTCTCTCGTACCGACCCATCACTGTAATAATAAATAAGTATGTTTGGAAAGACGCCATCAAATTAACAAAATAAATATGATTGTATGAGATGCATACATACTTGTATGAGAAGGCATACCCTGCCATCTCGTCCACACGAATAGTGTGTCCTCTCAGACACAAATACAAGAAAATCCTTTTCCTAACCTATATTTTAGTAGCTTTGTTTTAACGACACCATAATATAGGATATACTAACTAAGCCACCAAAGAACATAAATACGTATTGGAAATTACCTTAATTTCAAATAACAATCAATAATGAGGCAACTTCTAATCTTTTATGAGGTAAAAATCGACTGACTAGAGTGACTAGCCTAATGCCCCCAAATCTGACGCATGGCTTTTGCACACTGTTGCCAAATGGTCGAGCATTGATGATAGTTTTCGATCAGAACAGCGCCAAATTCCAAATAGGTTTAGATTAAACACGTGTTATGCCGTCTCAGCCAGTATGCCATCTCAGGCATATCTCCCGTACACAATTTTTTTGGCAGCCGTGTAGAATAACAAATCAATGAAACATATTTAATCATTATATTTTTTTGTAGAACAAAATTTGGAATATTTCAATTCTTATTTCTATTAAATATTGAAAGTGAAATGAATTTTCACTTTTCTTGAACATTTAAATAACAAAACACATATCAACGTTCTCATCCTCTCAGAAAATTAGTAATAATTTTCAAAAATTGATGATCAATTGCCAAAAATTGTTATCAATATATTGAATCAAGAATAAAGTAAAAAGAGATGCTATCGTGACGTTTTCCCGGTGGTTCCAATATTATTTTGATAATTAATTTTTTGATTTCTTGATTTAATTGTTGATTACTACGAATATTTTGAAATAATATTCAGAAAATTCAACCATTGAATCAAAATCAATTGAATCAAAATAATACACAAATCATACATATTTTAAGGGGGTTTGGAAATGGATGGGGATAGGGGTTAGAATACGATAATATGTCAAAAATAATTTATAAACGGTTTGTTCATATTTGATGAAAATAAAGTGGAGCCATTGGACTGGATATACAAAAAGAAAACATAAAAATATGTCAGTTCTTAATCATGTGGTAGTACTTCCTCAATTTCTCATAAACTCTTGAGCATAAACTCAATACTTATATGTATCTGTAACATTTCTTTTAAATTAGAGACTCCAGAAAAAATTAGCTTGTATTACTTTTACAGCTGGAATGCTTGGCAGTTAATTTCTGTAATAAAGTCACAGGATCCACGATGAAAACTTTGTTTCAACGCAGCAGGAGATTGAAATGTTTACTGATGAACGGAACGAGTAAGTGCTTTCATGTTATAGAATTGTTTTGCTTGCCAGTTGAAAAAAGATAATGAAACAAAATCCTCCTAAATTGTGAAAATACAGTTACAAATATTATTTCGGTCTCAACAAATAAATTCTTTTATTATGACTAAAAATAAATATGTGATTTTGATAGAACTCTTGCCTTATATTTGTTAACCTTCACATATAAAGAAAAATATATAGATTTATTCTGAAATTCTTTTCATCTTGTTCTGTTTCATTACTCATTTGTAGGTAGGTAGGTAGGTCTAGTCTAGAGAGAGTGGGTCTATTCAATCATCCACTGCAACTCGCGAGGGTTTATTGTGGCTCACAATTATACATCTTGACCCAAATAAACCCAGCTTCTTAACGAAGCGGATTACTTTATTCGGCGAATGATCTTTGAGGTCTTTGATCTAGTAAAGATTGAGGAAAATCAGGTAGATGGTAGACCAGATAGATGAGCAACACAAACTTGTGGCTTGAGAAGTAGGTGTCCTGTTATGCAGGGAAATAACTTCACCCTCCAACTAGAAGACCCTCTCATATCCTTTCGTAAAGACTGTTAGCTATCCAATCCGAAATGTGCATATCTGGAATCGTACCTTGTCGAGGTTGTCATATGTTCAAGGTGTAATAATCCCATCCTGTTTACATATAAAGGCATCTTCACGTCAGACATGCAGCACTTTTTCACGTATGTTTCAGGTGAATCATTGTTTGAGCAAGTGTTAACTGAACTGTTCTGTCCTTCTGCTCAAGAATTTGTTACAAGAATACTTGAGGAGGTGATAAATCGCCAAAACAACCATAGTAGAGTTGTAAAGGTGGTGACTTCTCTCCCTACGAAGACGCCAAATATGAGATCGACAGAAGACTCAATCCTTGAATATCAAAGATTGACGAAGCTCCCCAAGGCGGTCAGTTGCAAAGCCGAGCTTCGACATTGCACGCTGAACGAGAGTCGTCCTCTGTCTTTCATTGCGGCTTTCACTTCAAGGCAACTACTTGTGATCCGACACCACACAGCGCTGTTTCGACCCGCTAAGATCTCATTAGTGGTGTTAGGTTAAACCACACAACTGACCTAAAAAGTACAACCCTACGAAGTAGGGGTCAACAAGAGAACCAAAGTGAAATGATTAGGACATCAACAACTCCGTTAGTAACAGATACAACTGTCGGGGAAAATTAAATATCTGAGAGTGATTTTAGATCCAACTGACCTCTAACTAACTCTAAGACAGGATAATAAAAAGGTGGAGAGAGCACTGATGCTGGCTACATGTACTTATGAGAGAAATGGAGGCTGAAACCATATATGTTGTTTTGGCTATACTTGGTGGTGATTGAACCCATGACAACACATGCTCATTTGGTATGATCGTCAAAATAAAACAGACGGAAGAAGTGAAGCTGCTACTATCAACGAACTGCTTCTTTGAAAATAACGGAAGCAATGAAAACCACATCAATAACAGCATTGGAAGATTATTTTGTTTGAGTCTCCCCCTTTTACATCATGTAGGATTGAAGGCAAATTCAGATATCAAAATTCACCGAATTACAAGGGGTCGGACGAAATAGGAATTTAGGAATGAGTAGAGGAATGAATATCAAACATGTCTATGAATCTGTACAATTCCGAAACATAGTTAAAATCATACACTATGAATAATTGATGGTAAACAGGCACCCCGAGAACATGCTTGGCAGAAACACCTGGTGTAAAAAAGGAAAGAAAATTGAATTTGGAAAAAATTTGCATTATAGCTACCCGGTCGGTCAATTTAAAATCATGCATTTCTTTTTCTAGTAAGGATTTGCCAAAAGCTCTATCAAATTCGAAAAGAACGACATCCCTTCGAATAATTTTACCATTTTGAGGTAAGTCAGTATAACCTTGAGATTCGAAAATGGGAAAGGTATTCGAATAATTCCACTGATTTTATATCTAATAGCAACACTGATATCTCGTCAATACCGAAGGAGTGGCGGAACTAGAAATACAGCAGTCGTAAGGCTTCGAATAAAGCAGTCTGAGATAGCACAGCCATGGAGACAGAAAATGCGTAATTGCATCTGACCTCAGCGACCATATGACCTCTTGAATAAATTATAGGTCATGTGTTTTGATAAGACTAGGTCGATATTGTGACAAAATGCCTGAAAATTTTTTTACAATTAGATTGATCAACATTTATTGACATTGTACAACAGATCTAATGAATACTTATTAATACAACTTTCATTTATGTATTCTATTCTTCGATAACATATACTTCTTTTTTGAGTTTATTCAGTTATTCTAGTAGTATTCAATTTTTCAGACTTACAGAGTGAATATCTGATGCAAGTTGAATGGGAAAAGTGTTCTGTGCAGGAACTTGATATAACAGCAACTGACTTATCCACAGAATGTCTTCAAGATATGCTCACTCGGCTACCTGGCTTGAGATTTTTGAGCGCTGGACAACTGAACGGATTCAACGATTCCGTTTTGAAAACTTGGATGGAGGCAGGGAATCCCAGAAATCTGGTAGGAACTACGATATAGGGTGTTTTATAACTATGGTACGAAACTACAGAGGGTGATTCGTTAGGTCGTTTGAAAAAAGTTTCCATGAGTGTATATCCGGATATACAGGGCGTTGAAGTTCAAAAAGAAAAACTATATTTATAGAATATCACGAATATCATCCTCGAACCGATTTGGTTGAGAATAATAAGACGCTTATTTAGCCCTAAATAGATTCAAATTATTAGGTCTAGTGGTGTCTCAGTGAGAAATGCTGACAATAATATTGAAAAAAATAACGTTTGTTGTAGTTATTTGTTGTCTCAGATCAAGCAAATGAAAATACAACGTTTTAGTGTTTTGGAAGAAAGCTTAGGGAAAATTTGTTACGCCACTGGTTCCAATAGGTAAAAAAATTAATATCCATCTGCTTTTTATAACAAATTGTTGCCAAGTGCAATCGCAAGTATATATCTGCTTTGGAGACGAATTATCAGTGATGGTTGTATTGTCCTATCAGTAAAATTCAAAGTTGTCAAAAAATAATGATTTTATTAACGCTGAAATGCACTTTATTTATGGATTAGCAAATGGAAATACGAAAAAAGGACGGAGAATTCTCTATCCTCTATCATAGTAATCCATGTGTTGAAACACAAAGTTACATGCAAGATCATGTGAAACTAATAAATATTAAAATATTGCAGGTAGTGGATGACCAGAAATGTAACAATACCTGAACTAGAATTAGGAATACTTGATGCGATAGAACCAGGAAAATTGCACTGCAGATTAAAGTCAGCCCATGAACCATTTGTAAAGTTCTAAAAAGAAACTTCCTATATATCACAAGGTTTACTGCCTCGGGATTTTCACTCAAAATTATTGTTTTGCAGGTGGTTGGTTCATACAATGACGCACAATGATTATGTCCACAAAATATTTCATTTAAGGACGAGACAAGTTTCACGAGATGCTATCGTGACGTTTTCCCGGTGGTTCCACAATAATTGATCACACTATATAATTGAACTCAACTTAATTTCATACTACACTGTCAGTACAACACAAAGACTCTAACTGAAATTCATACCAATACTCAAATGTCTATAGTCTTTTTTTTTATTATTAGCTCAGTTCTCCTGGACTTCCCGAACTACACCAGACTTCCCTTATAAATCTTATATATGCTGTTGAAAGTCTCCGGAAGCCGATAGAATCATTTTCGAAGCGACGCGCGCGACACCTAGAAGCTTGAGTGCGACCTTGACCAAGTCACAGTTGATAGGCGAAGACCAGCGGCGGTTGGCGTTATTTTTAGGGGATAATTTACAACAATATTATGACGAAAACCCTCATATTATTAAACGAAGACATCTCCAGCAATAATTTTCGCTAAATTGATAGGAGTTATTGGTATTTGCTCATTTTTTCATTAGCAAGAATAACAGGTGAATCCTACACTGACTTTTTGCGAGATCATTTACCCATTATGTTAGAAGAAGTACCCGAATTATAAGACTCAACACGTCAATATCACCTATCCTAATTGCTGGATTGGACGTGCAAGACCTCAAAAGTGTACAGCTCGCGTCCTGATATGAATCCTCCAAATTTTTATTTATGGGATCATCTGAAGGTTCTTATTTATGAAACTCCTGAACTAGATGTGAATGACCTGAGGAATCGAATAATTGACAATTGCAATGAATGACAAGTCGGTTGCATTTGTGTATTTTATCAAAAGATTGACATTTTGCTCATTTACTTGTTAATTTTTCGTTTTTATTCTATATTATCCGTGGATAACTTTTAGAATGCCTTTCATATTGTTATCTCGAAAACGAAACTAGATGAAAAGAAAACACAAGAGACCACAAAGTTGTATTTTTAGTCAGTCAATAACGATTTTTTTCTCAATATCATAAGTTTTATGGACAACCTAACGAATCACTCTATGAAGTTTCGTACCGTAATTAGGAATCACCCTGTATATACTAACTTGAAAAATAAATGAATCTGATATTATTTACACAGTGCGATTACATTCTTTCAAAAAGATTATTTTTTAAAAGTTTTTTTCTAATTTCATAAGTTTTCTAAGGACTTCGAATTTGGACAGTTTTCTCGTGATCTCGTTTTTTCTAGATATTTTCTCAATTTTTTCGACAATATTTTATTACGTCAAGTTTATATCTCGAAACACAATTAGAATCTTAAAAAAATCGATTTCCAGGAAGTAGTCAAGATGTCGAAAAAACATACGTGAGCTCTAGAACGGCACTTCTGTATGCCTTTGAAGTCAGTGGTGCTTTGCTGAACCACAAATGTATCGTTGAACTCGAAAGCACTTGAAATAATGGACTACTCGTGAATGGAGTTGGTATCGTCTCCCCTTACAAAGACGCCATGTATTAGATGTCCTTTCAGTTGTGCATTATCCAACATACATTCGTGGTTCAGCCTAGCACCACTGATAAGATCTATTAGGCAGATCGAAACAGCGTAGAATCGGTATTGATTTATTATGAATGATTTGTTTTTGAGCATTTTTTCAACTAATTGCCTTGCAGTGAAAGCCACAGAGACAGAAGACAAATCTCATTTAGAGGTCGATATCGAAGCTTGGTGTTGCAACCGCCTTTGCGAGACTCGTTTTTATTGAAATTTATGGCTTGAGTCTTCGGTTGATCTATCAGATGGAAAAATTACTTTTTTTTCAGGTAGCTTTGGATTTGGAATGTTCAGACAATTTGAGTGAGGAAGCAATATACAAATTTCTGTGCAAGCATGGCCACCAGCTCTGGGGACTGGGATTAGCTGGTATGACACATATAACTGATTCCTTGTGGCAGACCGTTTTACCAATTTTGACAAATGCAAAGTAAGTGTATAGCTGTTTTTTCAAATGAACAGAAGAACGTGAAACTTGTAAATGTGAATTTTGGTAAATCAAATGAAGATTACTTAAAATTAATAAAAAGCACAATATTTTGTCCAAGAAGGAAAAGAGGGCGTAACCTGTTAATTAGATGGATTATAGTGTGTGTGGTAGAGCATTGAGTTATTATCAGCAAATTTTTACAGTAGATAGATAATTATTTATTTGATTCTTGGAATCATATTACTTAGACAAAAGATGAAGGGAAGAAAAAAGGAAAATGCTTAGATGGTACAATCCAAATAATTAAACTCGATTTGAAAGATGGTCACTTCTGACAAACTAAGATATGATAATAATGGAAACTTCCACAATAGAAAAAAAAAGCACTAGATACAAGATGGAGTGGTGTGGCACTAAAATGCGTATGGACTGCATAAAATAAAATACAAACTATCTTGTGTTTAGTCCGTACCTTCACAAAATTGTTGTTACACTTTCCATGTTGTTCAAAAATAATCATACGTTTTTTAAAATCATTTTTAGTTATTATTTAGTATTTTTTATGGATGAAATTTCCTACTTCATCTTTCAAAGACGACAACTCAGTGAGAAGAGTGTTGCAGTTCTGGTATTTGGGAACAATTTTGGATTTATTCTACGCCATCGGTTCAAGTTCTACCTTTTAGAAAAATACTATCTGGTTTCAAGTCGTTAAGCCATAATGTCCAATAGAATGGACATATGTTGAAAAGTAGTAGTCGAGTATATATTTTTTTTCGTTGAACTCTTGAAAAATAATCTCTACCAATCTCCAAAATTCAGAATTTTCCCTCAAACAGAAAGTGGTGACTCGAAAGGTTAATATTTATTCTGAAGGTTTATATTCAAAGGTCGTAACATGTATACTTACATGCTATAGACCCACTAATTATACCTTGTGGTACGATTTCGATGGCCCATCCTATATGTGAATCTACAGGATAAGCAAACTGATTGTTTTTTATTGTACTTTCAGGATTTTGATTATGGGGACGCAAGAACGTCTAGGGGTGAACATACTTGTTGATCAGCTGATGGACAGTATTGCTAGAAACTGTCCAAATTTGGAAAGAATAGAAATGCGATGGGATCCAGAAAACTTGAGATTTTCGGACAAGAGCCAAAAAGCTATCGATACAATCAGAGTTAAATGTCTAAAATTGAGATGTTTGTGCCTGAGGTTTGTATAATTTTTGACTACATCGATATGAGTTCTGTACACAACTTTAATGTTTAATTTATCTGCACTATCGTGTCCCTTTTTCAGGAGGAAGAAAAGCATACCAGTCTTTACTTACATGATTAAAAAAACATTTTACTGCATGCATGTCTTATATTCATTGAATTAACTTCATCAGTATAAAGTCAGAGGGATCCATTTCATTCCTTACATGATTTTTTTGTTTATTTTTCAGTGATGGACGATACTATGAAGTGGTCACAGCCAACTTTGAACGAGCAGATAGAATGACTGTAGTTAGAACATTAACAAATTGCAGAATTTCCAATTACTATTTACTATTGAATTATAAAGATTTGATTTTCAACTGAATGATTACAAATTCTAAACTGAAAATATTTTATTAGTCTATAACACATTTACAGGACAGTTCCGAAACTTGTGTACAATAATTTTCTGCAACTATAAACTAGAATTGGAATAAATTATGGATAGAAAAAAGTAGTGGCATTTACATTATCTGTACAATAAGTTATATACAAAAGTATATTTTCCCAATAAAGATAATCAATACAAGTTGTATTCATGATATTAGTTGCTTAATTATTATTTTTGTGCTCAAGAGAAAAATAAGTTTATACTGATTGCACAAAATTATTCTTTTTTGGGAAAACTTTCAACTATAATAACTAATATCATTTGATATTATTACTCAATAAAATGTGACCAATTTTTAAGAGAGCCAAATTCAAAATGAAATGTTGAATATTTTTTTATATAGAAACTATATTCTGGTAACCTCTTTTCAAATATAAATTTGAATATAAACAACTTCAACCTCAATAATTACCCCAAAACAATTTTTAATCAGATTTCTACCATTCACAACCATTAGTGAAAAAAAAACAAACGAAAAATAAATGAAAAAGCATATTAGTTCCAAACTACTGAACTTTGCTGAATGAAATTCAATTCTAAAATCGTCACAAAAAACATGGGAAGTCTGACAGTGGATCTATTACCACGCCCCGATTATTACACAAAATGGATAATTAACAACTGATATAAGGTGATATAATAGGACTATTTGACACTTTAAATTATTGCTCATAATTCGAGTAAAAAATTTTCCATTTTTAATTGGATTCGTCCATACTTGAAAAACAATGAAAAACGAAAATTTTTTATCAACATATTCTCTTATGGAAAGTTTACAAAATAAAACATGTTTTTTTGGTAAGAATAAGTAATAATGAAGTGTTTAGCTGAGTGATAAGTATTGAAATATTCAAGAAGTAACCTTTGTAGTACGGTTTAAGTATTAGTCAAGTATAGAAGAGCTACGTAAATTGAAACAAATGTTGAGATATGATCACAAGGGTTAAATAAACCAATTAGATCAACAATTATTTGATAATGTTCCAAAATGTAGGTTACAATTGTTCAACTAGCAAAGACAAGCACTCGACAGGTCATTGTTCAGAATTTTGAAATGAAGGTACCTTATTTAGTTCTTTCTGAAGATCATGCCAAAAGTTTCTTTTATTACTGTGGCATACAACATATACCACTGGATGTCTGCTGCAATAGCAGAATAAACGTTTGGCACTTCAGGTTCCATTCAACTACGGCCTACTGCTCTCTTCAGTCTTTAATCGTGACTTCGGCATGAAAGTCTTTGATCTTATAAAACATAAAAAATTGAAGACAATTTGATACACATTTTTTTGGGTCTCTATCAACAAAATTATTTTCTCAAGAGGATATTTAAGAAAACGTAGTTTAAATGAGATACCCTGATCTCTTCTCAACTCAGTTGAAAAGTGTTATATTTGTGAGTGGACTCCTGATAAAAATTTTTTTCATTAGGTAAGTTTGGAGATTTTTTTTTGCATTACCTGGTAGGAAAATATTTTTTGCCAGTGTTGCTATGAATTGCAAAAACATTTTCTGACTGAACAGCCCATAGACACTGAAAAATACCGGTAATTTCATTACAACTTCCTCAAGCAGATATTTTTTGCCAAGGTGCCATCAAGTATTATATCAAATTTATTAGTGTCTTTGGGCTAATATTGCTGAACTTCTCATAATAACGTGTTTTCAAAATTGAGAGTTTTTCACCGAAAATATTTGAATATTTCAAGTGTTTTCAACATTATAAATTCACTTTCGAGTTTTTCTTATGAAAATCAGTATCTCTGCCAAAAAGTATAATAATATTGGCATTGAGCAAAGTACAACAATATAAAATTAATGAAAATATAATAATTTCATGTAATAGAAAAAATACTCAATTCAACCTTTTTTTTTATGGCCATGTAGAGTTTCAGGTATCAACTTTCAACATTACTTACTCTTTTAATGAAACACTTGCATACAATTATATAAACTTGTAGAACAAATATCCTCTCATCAATTTGATAATCTAGATTATCTATAAACTTTAGTAATGTCAGGTAGGTTTCGTTGTGCATGAATTCAAATCAGGTCATCATCAAATCATGAAACTACTTGTATTAACCTCTTAGGGTCTTGTCTGAGTTCGTTTGACAAACAATTTGACAATATATTTCAATTCAGAACATTTCAACTTATGAACAAATAATAAATAAAAGTATGTACAGTCACTATATCAATGTAATGCTTAGGTTCAGAAGCTAGAGACTTGAGTGGCAAGACCTCAAATTCCAATTAAGAACTATATAGTTTTCACCAATCTAGTCTCTTGATAAAAAAGTACAATTTACTCAAAGTCAATAACAGCCTAAATATTAATCATTTTCAGCTCGAAAACAATCCCAAAGCTCCTTGATGAATTATTCTATATCACAATTTGAAAAACCTATCACCTGTTATAGTCATTCCCCAATTCCTGATAATTTTCGACGGGTGGCCTAGGATCCCTTTGGTCATTCGAATCAATGCCATGTAATACTTCATGGCAAAGCGGACACCTATCCTGAACATAAAGCCATTTTCTTAAGCAAACTCCATGAAAGAAGTGTCTGCATTTGGTTATTTTGGCAGACTGCATTTCTTGATAACATATGGCACAAACGTCATCTAATTCACGTAACTGCTCTTCTGCAGCCTCAGGAAGGCTTTCTATTTTGTTGACTGCTGTACGACGTTTCATAAAGACTGACCAGCCTGCTTTTGCGTCACACCATATATTGAAATAAGCATGAATGCACATCATGACCGCCCTAATTGCGCTGCCACTTTCAAACAACAGAATCCAAGCTCCGTTGAAGAATAAAAATATTCCAAAGCAAAACTCTATAGTGTTACCAAAAGCTCTAATATAATAAATGTAGTCATCTAGTTTCTCCCAGAAAGTTTCCCTTCTTGAATCAAGCAGAAAGAGGGTATAGATTGCTAAAGATACACAAACTTTAATGATAACTTCAATGCTGAATGCAGTAACAGCTAATAGCCATGTTGACATTTCTTGTGTCTTCCAAAGGAAGTACATGAGCAACAAAGGTAACAAGATTAGAACACCACACACCAATAAAGCGTGCAAGTGCCTTTTTACAGATGGGTTATGAGATGCACTTAAACTCATCATAAGGGGATTGACCACATTATGTGTGAAATGGAGAAGAGCTGTGAAAAGAAGACAAAAATTTCTGCACAGCCTCACAAACCTCACCTCGGGTTCCAGACCTGTCAGACCAGTCTGGAGGGCTAAAATATAAAACACAATAGCTGAGACTGTTCCAAAATTTTTGTCGTTTTCTTCATCAGTCAGCAAAACCCACTGGAAAAATTTTCCAATATAGTTACAAATATAAGAAACTATGCTAGTGATGCCCAAAACAGCAGTTAGTGTATCACAGCCTGTGACCATTGAATATTTCAGAAGTCTGAAATATGGAGAATTTCCATCTTCTATATCCCAGTACCCTGATAAGAAGAAAATTCCTGCATGCTCCAACAATCTCAGAATCCAAAAAGTTCGTAATACCTCAGGAACATTTAATCTCAACCATTCGGATTCAACCAGGGCAGACATGCCAAAATTTGAAACGAAATTTTTAGCTTGCACATATCCAGAGGAAACAGAGTGTATGACTTGAAAGAAAGAAGAGCACAGAACAAATTTTACCATTAGGAAAGGTATCAGAGCTGCTACAACTGGAGCATAATTCAATAAAAAAGCAGGGATTGGCAATACTGCCAAAATCGAAGGTACAAGAAAAATTCCTGGTAGAAGTTTTTGTAAGATTGGATTCCTTGGTCCGAGATATATGTTGATAAAAACTACTGAAAGAAGTGACTGGAGGATGTAGTTCTGGATAATGTTGATGAAAAATATTTTATGAGTACATAATTCTTCCAAGTTGAAGGAGATTATATTGCTTAAGATGTTGATGGATCCATTTTTGTAATGCTCAGTGCTCAATACCGATTTGACAATATTGACATTTGTCCAGTATGACAGGAGTATGAGACCCAATGACGTGAGATACATGTAGACTACCACTAAATGTTTGGTATTCAAAATGAACATACATAATGCAACCGTGCAACCTGAAACAAAAAATGTATTATAATATAACGTATGAAACCTATTTCAATTTGAACAAGTTTGATGTAAATTAGTACACTAGATGGTACTAGAGCCCAAAAGCATTGCACTTTTAACTCGGTGTTGTCCTCGTTTAGGCAGATTGAAACAGTAATATTTGGTATAAAATTAAGGACGCAATGCTTTTGAATTATGGTATTATCCTGTGGTTTGATTGCAGTCAAAGCTACAGCTATTCTAAAAATCTATGTAACAGGACCTTATTAACGAAATATTTTCGTTCAAATTCAAAGGGGCATATTTTTAGAAGAGATTACTTTTTGGGAAAAGGCTTTTTGCCTTTCACTTCTCTCTCTCCAAATGAAAAATGTAGGAAACTTCCATAGAAAGGAAGAAGCAATTAAATATTGTGTAGCGTTCATAAGGATGATATGTGATTCAATTCCATAATGTTTGGAGTACAAACTGAATAAGAACAAGTGGTTTTGATATAATTCAGTATCCATATGAAAGTATGTTATCTTTCACGTGAAAGTAGTTGTTTCAGGAGGGCTTTTTCTTACAGTTGAAAATTATGTTGCCAAAATTTGAAAATTTTACTTTTCTTCGCTGCGGAAGAATGTTTGTGAAAAAAGTAGGACAATTATAAAAAAATAGGACACAATTTAAAAATATTTCTTATTAGAAGTAATCACTAAGAAAAAAAGACTTAAATCTAATGAGTTGTTGGAAAATATATATGCGACTTCTTTGAATTTTCTCCTAAACCAGTGTTCATCCTTGTGGATGATTTCAGCTTGAGCCCACTTGATGTCATGTTGATGAGTCCAAACGTGCTCTGCTATTCCTGATTTGCTGGTTTCTCCTCGCTGTGCTGTGCTCGGTAATGAGAACTTTCAATGGTCTCTTAGTTTCGCCGATATATGATTCTCCGCACTCAGGTATCCGGTAAATGCAATTCTTGGAATCGCAGTCTGCGTTTGGTGGCCTGGTTTTTGTGACGCTGTTACAGATAGTGTACCCAGATCTGAAGCAGGTTCTGTTAAACTTGGACCCAATCCTTCTTATCCTTTCCGACAATCATCTGATGTAGGGAAGTACAAGTACTGGTTGTGGCGGCTTCTCTTCCTTCTTCATTATTTTTGGAGTAACTATTTCGTTGAAGGTCATTTTTGATGATGCCTAGTTCCTTTTCGAGACCTTCCTTTGTATTACAGAGCCCGAAAGCACGGTCTAGTAGAGTCTTGACGATTCCTCTCTTAGTCAATTGATGGTGGTTGGATTCCTGGTTGAGATAATGTCCTGTGTGAGTGGGTCGTGTCGGTCCTCTTCACCAATACGTCTAAGAATGGCAATTCGTTGTGGACTTCCTTCTCCATTGTGAAAGTGATGTAAGGACTTACGTTGTTGATGTGCTTTAGGAAGGTGTCTAGTTCTACATTCCCATGGTTCCATATTATGAAGGTGTCGTCCACGTATCTCAACCAGACTCGGGGCTTCTTCAATGACCAGAGTTTCAAACCACTCCATATATATATTGGCTATAACCAGTGAAAGTTGCGATCTCATTGGCAGTTCCTCATCTTGCGTAAAGAATATGTCCTTCATTTGGAAGTAGCAGTTTCGTACACAGCATCCTAGTAATTACATGATTACTTGTATCGGTAAGTTTTTTCTATCTTTCAGGTCCCCATCTTCGGATAGCTTCCTCTGTATGATTTGAAGTGCTCCTTCGACAGGGACGTTGGTGTAGAGGCTTTCCACGTGGTGTAGAGGCTACTAGTAATGGAATCATTTGAATTCCAAGTTCTTGGTTATCCGAATATCCAAACAATTGGTATATTTCGATTATGAGAACTGAATGCATGGGTTGTCAATCCGAACCAACTGAATTTTGATGCATTTGATTTAGTATTGCCTGTGTGAAACGAATTAAGGATGAGGTGTAGGAATGAACACTAATTGAAATATTCTGAAACGCAACACATTTTAATCTTAAAACTCAAAAACTATTTATGACACATGGTGAATGTTTTTCCATTCTTGAAAATTAAACAACAAACATTTCAAAAAGTGGACAATGACGCTGCTGCAACATTGTTAATGAAGTGTGAATACAAATTTATGAAGTGTAAATACAAATATACATAATACAAAAAAAAGAAATGGGGAAGACAAGCTTATAATCTATAACTGAAATAAATACAATTCATTCAAAGATTTTCCCATAAATAATTCTTTGATTTCTTGAACATAGAGAAACTACTTAAGGCCTTCAAATGATCTGGAAGATGGTTATATATCTTTGTACAAATGTATTCCGCCCCACATGGCGTTACTTTGAATCTTGATAAGGGTAAATGAAAGCGGTTTTTGATTCTAGTATCGTGTTGATGAAATTTCAGTTGATTTGTGTTTGAACACATACTTACACAGTTTAAAACTATAAACAAGTGTTATTGTTAAGACACCATACTACTTAAAAAGCGCCTTAAAAAGTACATGATTGTCTGAATAATTTGCTATGCAACACAGAATATGCTTTTGTGTTATAAAAACAATTTCTCACTGAGATTCACCCCAGAAAGTCATCATACCTAAGTCTTGAATCTACTTGAGCAAAATATATCAAGCTTATGTTCACTGCAATTCCCTTTTTTTTTATTTAGCCCTAGGACATACAATATTTAATAAATTATACTTTGACAAAATGGTTTAGACTTTCGCGGCTGAGGTTTTCAGTGTCATTGTTTCTCGAGTTTGAAAGCCGTGGATTTTTGAAATTTCTTCCAAAAATCCACGGCTTTCAAACTTATCATTATGATGAAAGGTTCTATTTCCTCAACTAAATGGTCTAATTGCCACATGTTGTCTCCTTTTTTTATAACATATTCAATACATTTTCGCCATTTTTCGGAATAGACACTTTCAAGGGACTTCTTAAAGAATATTTTATTCTTGCAACGAAACCCTTCACTTGAGCCTAAACGAGTTGAATGGGATTAAGTTCGCAATGATAAGGGTGCAGACTCATAATAATAACATTTTGTTTTTATGACTTCTTGCCCACTACATATTTTGTGAAATGAGCTTTATAGGACAATAGTTCTTTTTTAATGATACTTTCATCAAATGGATTCTTTTTTTGTCAAAGCCATTCGATGATATCCCGTTTTTTCCATGCATTAGTTGGATTTCTTTCAACTTTTATGAATTGATAACTTGCATTATCCATCACAATCATAGAGTTGAGTGGAGTGAGGTCTAACATTTGCTCATAATATTCTTCAAACACATCGTCGTTCATGTCTTCATGGTCAATAAATCGCCCTCAACAAAACCATCAATACTTGCAATGTGGGTAATAATCAGTCGCTCCCCAGCTGTCAAAAAATGCTTGATGTGAACGGTAATGTGTTTGTCTTGCCACATCTTTCCAAAGATTAAGCCAAGTTTCCTCAAGATAATGAATCTTTTTGTTCTCACGTTGAAACTCTCTTACCTATCTCAGGTAATGTCTCCACCAGCAAATAATTTCATTATTTTCGATTACGACAGATTTTTTGTTTTGTTTTTCCCAGCTGAAATTTAATTTGTTTTAAGTTTTTCACAATTTTTTTCTGCCTATCATTGGTAACATATTTTGGTCTTCTTTCAAGGCTCCCAATATTTTTTCGCAAGTCTGTATTTCTTCCTCAAAATAAAATTAATGTATTGTTTTTCTGATTGCAAGTTTAAAGTTTTCACAAACAGTTTTTCTTCCTAAATATGGTTTTTGTGATTTCACAGTTTCATTTTTCCTCTTATTCTTGAATATACATATCGATGATTTTGAAACTCCCGTAATTTCAACAGAGTACCAACGCTATACGAAGGATTTTGGTGTATGAGAGCGTCATATACATTTTGAATATTGATCATTTAGTCAACAGAAAAAGCTCAATTGCTCATTCGATTCACCAAAGAGAAAACTGCAGTAGCCAGTTTAATTCACATGCTAACTATAATTTACTAATAAAAATACTGATTAAGACCCAAGGGCTTTATCATTAATTCATTTTCTTCAGGTGATAAAATACCTAATTCAAGCATTATTAGATCGGATCAAATGATGATGCCATCGTCTTTTCCAGCAAAAATTGAAAATATCTCAGGTATACCTGTTTTAATTACGTTAGTTGTCCAGGTATGTCTTACATTAAAAAGTAGTTTTGAAGTAAAAACAATTTTGGATATTAAATAAAAAAATATATATAAATTATTAATGAGTGTTCCATATTTTTGTTATTCACCGTATACATACAATTATAAAAAGTCTTTTGAGATTTGTTATATCAAATTATACCGAAAATATCAAGTCTCTGAAAGACAATATGGAACCAAATTTTACAGAGATAGGTAGAAAAATTTGGTCCTCATGTTTGACATAAGTTGGGTGAAAAATTATAATGGTTTATTGAGATTCAAATAGATTTATAGCAATTGAGTGATGATCCAGATTCAGAAACTTCTAAAATACAATCTCTTTTTTACAGTCGATAACCTTCACCCAAATTATATTATAAGTTTATGTTGCTCATCTATAACATACTTTCGGTCTATTATTTTCACTTGCAAATACAAAAGGATACTCAATAAACTATTGTTAATGCAACAAATGTACTTGTCTCTAATCTTTTTTGTAAGGTTTTCTTTTTAGTAAATTTGTCAAATTTTGGGTGAAAAGTAGGGCAAGATGATGGAAAGTAGGATCTTTCAATACTGCAAATTAGAAAAGGTAGGACAATTATGAGGACCAGAAAAGATATAATTGTGAGGAAATTAAATCTTCTGTATGAAAGCCTGCAAATAAATGTCAACATTATGCAATTACAAAAAACTTTCATTCAAACAACTTGTTCCTGAAATAGTGTGTTTGGGTAGATGCATCTCCGAAAGTAGACTTAGGCAATAAGATTAAAAATCAGATATTCGTAATCAGCGGACAAAAATACATAAATCTAATTCAAAATTTTTCAAATACTCGTTTGCGCAAGCTGGAAAAACAAATATTTACCCCATTTAAGCATAAATGGTAGGTCTCGGTAGTAAACATAACATATCTCATCAAATTATAATAGACAAATTCAAACTGAGGTACTGATTGAAGTCTACGTATGTACATTTATACAAATGGAAAAATATGCAAACAATCACAACATATGACTACACAGGTGAAATAAGTAAAATCAGGTCAATATTTTATCGAGCATATGACTCAGAGATAAGACATGTTATTGCCAAATGGTAAAAATGAGGAAAAATCTGATGAACTTCCTTTTGAGAACCACTTACACTACAATAACTTTTAATTCTGAATATCTAACAAAAATGCAATTCTTGAATATTGTAAGCAGACCTAAAGTTCCAAACCAGTAAATGTAATCAGTAAGTCCTGAATAATTACATTATTTTTACCAAATTCAATAAAGTCCAATAAATGATCAATGAATTGGCTTAACTAGTTTTGTTTGTTGTACTTCATCCTAATAAGTAGATTTTCATTTCTATTATTCAGAATTGTCACTCTGTAATTATTGAGTATTGAATTCATTTAAATATAATTAGAATGAACATATATCAAAACCCCCATATTCTTAAAAAGCTATAACTCGTCCATGAACTAGTTGACACCCAATAAAAGCAGTTGTTGAAAGATCAAGAAAGGAAAGGTTTTTCCAAATAATATACTAACCCAGTGCACTGATCATCAACCTAAGAACAGATACCAAAAGGAACTTGGACATGACTGGATCAAATGAATCGTACGATTCGCTAGGTGTTGTGATATTGAACTGATTTCCAAGTTTTGCATAGTTTTCTTCAATATTTGACAAGTCATGAATGGGCAGATCTGATATTCCAATTCCAATTTTCAAAATCTCGTCGATCACAAACAACGGTGGTACTCTCAAGATTACTTCTAGAAATCCTAAAACTTTGTCCCGGAACGACATTTCATTGCAGTTGCAGAAAATGTATTTTTTATAAGATTCCCAGATGTTTTTTATTTCACTAAAGAACTCATGAAAACAATAAGGAAAATAAGATACAGAAATTGTATGACATTTGACATGACAAATCTCAGATCAGTGGAATTCTGTCTGAATTTTTAGATGAGTGACAAACAAACAATGTTACCAACAGAAATTACACAAAATACTCCAAATACTTTAACTATACGGAATTTATGAAACTATGCAGCTCATAATATTTTTCACCCATTAATTTGTTTTGAAGTTATGCAAAGGAGAAAGATTACCCACCGCCATTGTTCTATATGTACTCTACGTAACAACGTAACTGGAATGGTATAGGTAATATTGTAATAGCATCTCGAAGGTAGAATAAACAACGTGGAGTGTAGAGACGTTGGTAGTTTCATTTCCGTCATGGTCATAGAGATGGGTATTTTCAGTTCTGTCCTAATCATTATTATGAGCGGTGTTACGTAAAGTATGATGCACTGATAGTAATCGACGGAAGATAAAGATACCCACACATCCAAATTCTCCTTTGATTATCTGCATTAAATGTCAAACTTGAACTTCCAAAACATAGCCACATTAGTTTAAGATCTACTGTGACATAGCACTCATCTCATGTACCCTCCATAATCTCATCTAACACTTTCGAATTCTGACACTTGTCGAAGAATACCTTAAAAAAGTGAAAATCAGCACGGAACAAATACATTAACTTTTTGACAGATAACAATCTTGAGGAATAATGGATAATCATCTTTAAAACATGTTTTTTCATAAACTACACCTCACGATTTGATCTCCACAAATTTTATTTGAAAAATATAAATCACAACATGTTTCGCTAACACAGTAGCTTTATCAAGTGATTCAAATCTCGTGATATAGTAGCTTTATCTGCGAAACATGTTGCGATATATATTTTTCAAATAAAGTTTGTGGAGATTAAATCGTGAGGTGTAGTTTATGAAATTACTATGGATCTTCATCAAGTAACGGCGGAATCAAATCAGAAAAAAATATACATGAAAAATGTTCTTCAAGTTGTTACTGAACGTGAACATGGTAAAATAGAGCTAGTCTGGTTTAATTGTTTGGTTGAAAACCTACATTTCAGATAATTCTAATTTACTCCTGAAAATGAGATTACAGATTGTAGGTAACCAAAATTTGACCCAACATCATGAATGTTTCAGTTATGAAGTATTCTGTAGTAAAAGTATCTATCGTTCTCCTAAATTAATAACATATTTTCTGAAAATTTGCATTATTATATTATATTAGTATTATTTTTGTCTCAGTTTTGTGGGAAAACAGAAACCAACATTGACTCTTCCACACAAAATGTCATTCAAATAATATTCTATTGAACTTATCGCATCCTTAGGATACGCCTACGCATTTTTTGGCGCTACTGTTTAGGTTACAAAAAAGTGTTCCAAGAAGAGCATGTGTTATATGTTTTTCAGCCATCATATTTAATACGATTTCTGATCATAATTTATGAGTCTTGTAGTTTCAAAAGAAATAATGTGAGATTCGTTTCGTCTCGATAATGTCGAAATCATATTATTAAACCTATTTTTTTAAATTTTTATTTTCTTTGTTTCTATATTTGTTAAATTTTGAATTTTTTGCTTGGTTTTTATTTCATTTTAATAATTTCATTTTCAGGGTTCATTTGCTTGATATTCTTTTGGGTTTTTCAGGAATTTCAAATCATTTTGTATTATATTAGACAATGGAAGTCCCTACGATCAATCTCGTATGATCAATCGTATGATCAATCAGGATTAAACTTCGCGAGTATTACATTACCGAATGTTGTATGGGACGTAAGACGTAACCCAGAGTTTTGGAAACACACGATGGAATAGAATGAAGGTATTTGCAATAAGTGATATACATATTCCTTCTTTATTAGTGGCATTCATTGTTCAATAAGGTTACAGGTTACAATTGGTTGGTTTGATTAATGTTGTAATGCATTACTGCTAATAATACCTACTATACAATATTGCTTATTTTGTTAACCAATGTTAGTGGACTGTTATCCTTTGATCACGTGATCCTGATTTCTGAATGACTATACAAACTTTGTATATAGACTAACAAAGATTGGACTGTTATCCTTTGATCACGTGATCTTGATTTCTGAATGACTATACAAGCTTTGTATATAGACTAACAAAGATACAAGGCTAAGGCCATTCTAAGGCTGGTAGCATTGTCTTTAGATTTTAGACAATGCTGGTAGCATTGTCTAAGGTAGAAACTTTACTGTTATAGAGGTTCGCGCTATTAGATATAGGTGTCACCCAATTCCAAATTTGGTGCCATGAATTAGTTCCATCAACACTACACAGATGGCACAATCTATTCAACCATTAAGCAATCTATAGACAATGCATGAAGTTTGAGATTTCTTCAACGACACGACTTACAAAATATACAGTTCGCAATCGTTGTGCTAGATGTCACTTTATCGTGGAGATATTTCAAATATTATAATTTTCTTTTTTACTAAAGTATTTAGCCACATTCCATATTGCATGTTGGCATATATGTTACCGTTGTATGAAGCAAACAACAATATTATGGTTGTAAATATTTTGCAGAATATGTAATGAATTCTAGCACAAGTAATACTTTATAGAACATCTACATATTCGAATCCAATCTAAAACCTGTTTTCATAGGATCGCTTTCGAATAATAGATGTCGCACGTTGTCAGTTTTCGTCATTTCGTGGAATTAAATAAAAAAAGTATACATTGGAATGATCAAAACTGGCCGATATTTAAAGAAAATACATATTGAAATTTAATAATGAAAATAATAATTATGTAATAATATTACATCGGCTTATCAAAGCACCTGACCTTCGCTTTCCACAGGTCGAGTGGGTTCAAATCGGAAACTGAGAGGTTCATCATGCCCTGCCAGGATGGTGATTTGAACACAGTAGTCGCGTGATGGTTATATTAATGTTCGGTCTGCCGCCGAAGAGCCTGAGGCCCACCCTTAGGCTAATATAAGCTAATAAGCCTGATGTAGTTCTTCTCGACCATCAGAGCAAAAATCAAATGATGAGATGTCATAGAAAGAATATATGTCCTACCTATCGACGGTATCTAATTTTGAAAGTTGTAAAATGTGGCAGAATTTCTACCAGTTTCGGCAACTGTTTGAAGTGTAATTTGAATTGCAGTAATCATGAAATATATATGTAATATGTACTTAACACCTCGGCTGAAAAGTCCTGGGCTTTATTCATTAACGTGATCTCCATCAAGAGCCACAATCATTCCAGTGCCGCTCTAACATTTCAATACCACTTTTGTAGAACGATTTATCTTTTTCCTCAAAATAGGCCACAGTTTCAACAATAAGCTATTCATTCGAGCGAAATGTCTTACCGGTGATCATTTTTTTTTTAAGGTCTGCGAACAACCAGTAGTTGTTGGGAGTCAAACCTGGCGAATATGGTATATGCGGGAGCATATCGAAGCCCATTACCGGCAATTTTGCCATCGTTTTCATTGATCTGTGACACTGTGGATTGTCTTTATGAAGCAGGCACTTTCTTTTTTTTCAAAAGGGTAATTTTTCCGCAATTGCGGCTTTCAAACGCTCCAATAACGCTATATAATTTTCATTGTTGATGGTATTTCCCTTCTCAAGATGGTATTTGAATATTATCTACACCACGCACATCCCAAAATAACGAAGCTATAACCTTTCCAGTCGATTATTATTGTGCTTTCGGGCACTTTGCTCTCCACTCAGATGAGGATCCATATGATTAGAGAGTGAAGTGATGGATCCATGTTTCATCCATTGCCACATATCGTCGCAAACATTCCTGTTTATGTTTGAACATGACCAAACACTGCTCAAAATGATCAAGACGTTCTTGTTTCTCATAGTCAAATGCTCATGCAATATAAAGACAACACGTACTTTTGATATCTTTATAATATCAGCTAACTCACGCAACTTGACTTTTCGATAGTTCAAACCGATTCTGTGTATTTTTTTTCTAGTGTTACTGCCCCATTTGGACGTGAACTGCGTTCTGAACCATTGTTGTTTCTGATGGAGCGGATTCCTTATAACATCTTTCAAGCCATTGCGTTGCTTAAACGGCATTTTTCCCATCAAGAAGCAGTGTAAAATTAAAACACGAAATTGTTTTTGATCCATTGTTTCGAAAATAAAAGTAGTGTCACTTTTAGCGCAATAACTCACAAACTTATAAGTAGAATATCATGAAATTTCCAGTTTTCTTTTGAAGGTTACTACTAACTGAAAAAGCGGTTTTATGCAAGACGACTTGCGCCATCTATGTGTTAGGCCCGAGACTTTTCAGCACATGTAGTATTCTGATACTAGTAGCAGACATTTTCAATATAATTAGTTATGAAAAAATACACAAGAAATTTGAAGGTGATAAGCAGATAACAACAATTTTGTTATTTCGTTTATTTCGTTTGTTATTAATGACTAAAAACATGAAAAATTGAGAATGCATTTTAAGTATGTAAAAAATACTGAAAATGTATGTTACTATGTGGAAACATTTTTGTTAAGTATGTATTCTAGGTAGTTTTGAAGAAAATCATTATTTTATGTAAATGTAGTAAATAAGTATCAATCATTTTGAGGCTTTTTATGTTCCTTCTGGAATTTACATAGATAGGATCTTTATAAATGTTAGTCATTACTGAAAAGAGTCATTCGTTAAGTATGTTGGAGCGATATAATATTCTGACACTGTCATATATAAATTGATGTTCTTAGTCGATGATATTTTGTGCTAAATTGCAACTATTTTTGTTATTTTGATGTCACTTCTGTTAGCATCCATAGAAACCTCTACCTACACTGTTAAAAGCTATAAGGCTATATGGGAAGGCTGATCTTTTTAAGACCATTAACGAATTGATTTGCTCAGATGTCTTGCAAACCAGACAAAATAGTGAGATGTTTTGGGTGTGATTTTCTCATACGTTCAACGTCCAGAAATGGTAGTCCAGAAATGGTGAATGCCTGTCGGAAAACAAAGTAATTTCCCGGCTAATACCATGTTGGACA